GAACTCAGCAATATGCATCCATGATTCCGCACACGGAACTCGAACACAGGATTTTCGGTCTCGTGAGCGAACGCTTAACCTCTAGATCATTGAATCGGCATCCAACAGTGTTACTGTCTGTCTTCAGTCGATCTATGATCTTGTGTAACACTTTATCTATTGTCTGAGGTGTATAACTATCTCACACACGATCCGTATTGGACTCGACTATTCACGGCTTCTCACTATAACTTTATGAAATCTATCTTGAAGCTAGACACTAATGAGCTCATTATTACTATTATTATTATTGTCATCAGGATGTGGATTTATGGAGAAGTTGCGTTCGCGCGTGAGACCGAAGGTACTAGATCCGAGTCTCGCATGCGAAATAGTAGATGCTCACTTCTGAGGAGTCCCATAATAGGATGGAACGACTGTCCAGTACTTCCATGTTTTCAATGGTGATCTAGATTAGATGGACTCATGAATTCAACTGTTAAGATATTTGTGTTTAAATAAAGACTAATTGTACCAAGTATGAGAAAATGAATTTCCTATTACCAATCAGTATAATAAAAGCAATAAGTGATCATGTAACAAAATAAAGACGAAAATTTAAATAATAAGTGAACATTAGCGGATGAATAAAAAACATGTAATTGTGTGTGAAATAAAGTTATTTGATTACAGTCATATTTAATATGGCAAAGAGAGGTTCATCACGTCTCTTTTTTAAACATGTACACTATATAAGAAACGTTTGTTGCCACTGGTCTCTACAAAGTTGAGTAACAGTGGTATTCCTTGTTTATTGACTGTTTTAAACGCCTTGAAATTGCTTACTATCATCACTTGTTAATTACTTGACACACAGTGCAAGCTGAATTAAATGTTTAAATCCATATCTTAAGTATATTTTTTCAGTTATAGTGCATAGATTTACTGAAAAGACACCCTATTATGATCAATCCATACAATATTTAAATAATCCTTGGACCAATTATCTTTTTCATTCACATCGGATCATTTTTCCATGTCTCAGTTATTGTTGTTTTTTTATTGGAAATTCATTTCACAATGTATAATTTCAATATACGTTGAATCACGTAATTTTTGACCTGAAACACAAGTATGTGTATCATTTCAAGTACAGTTGAATGTTATTGTTGCTTGTAAATGACTCATACCAGTTGTTATTGTTATCTGGTTGATTTATTATTAAGATTCACTATATCTGTCTTGATTTGTGGAACAGATATTTTTTTTGTGTTTAAGAGAAATCCATTAGTTTTGGAATGAGAGAAAATGTTCACTTCTTGTCTTTGTTGTTGTTGTTTTTTTCAAACTGGAGAGTTCAACTTTTTTGCTCACTTTATTTATTGTTTGCATAGAATACTACAATTGTGTATATACATACTCTCTCTCTCTCTCTCTCACACACACACACACAAGTATTCAAAGACAAACTTCCAGAGGAGTGTCTTTTTTCAGTTGTTTGACTTTTAGTGAAGTCACCACTTGTTTTATATAACTGACTATTCACTGAATTATATATATATATATATATATATATATATATATATATATATATATATATGCGATTGGTCTCATATAATATTCTTGATTATCTATTGTCTGAAGAAGTGGCTTACACTAAGTCACGAAACGTCAGGAAATATAAGTTTTCTACTCATTGGGATATTACAAATATTTTAATTTATTTATAACAATCTACCCAATGCGCAATTTATTGGAAATAATCAAGTCAAACCTTGGTAATGATACCTATTTAATGCATGGTTTTTATATTTTATGAAGGTATTCTGTAATTTTGTATTAAACAATAAATTGGTCTTCCCCACTTAAGCCTTTTTTCACTACATTATTATCTATTGTTCCAAAAAACTGTTCCGACGTTCATCGTTGTACGGAATTGAAACAAATCTGGATCATTACTGAGTTTGTATCATAAGATAGTTTATAAAACCTTTGAAAGTTTACCAAATTTATGTTCATCACTAGTCAGTAAACTTCCTTTTCAGTCTGTTGTTATGTGAATAATAACAATTTTCTAAATATTTCAATGTTTAGCTAAGTCTTATGATAATCCAAATGGTGTTGAGTGAATGAGGAACAACGACTTGCGACCAGTCATCAGATGATCTGAAATAACTGAACCATACTAACTTTGTAATTCCATTGAAGTGTTACAATTAAAAAACTAATTGTTTGTTTGTCTCAGCACTATTTTTTTCTTAAAATAAAACCAATCAATAAAATTGATCAAGAATTTCCACGACAGTTTCATATACTTAACTGTTTGCTGCGTTTCTGTAGACGAAGGTGGTAAGAGAGTGAAATAATGCTGTCATCACAAACTAATCGATTTTCCCAGAACATGGTTATCCCTAAGCTGCAAGATTATTAATTATATGTTCTGTTATTTTGTTATAACTTGTGCCCTGTATCCTTATTAATGTATAACGTAATGATACCGCCAATTAGAGAATAGCGATTTATCGACTGGATCAATGACGCACAAACAAGTACGAGTAGTCTAGAATCCTTATTGGTTCTGCTTCCTGCCTGGTCCTAGCCCCACCCGCTAAGTTCAGAACACCAATCTCAACCTCTGGGATATGAATCATTTATTTCAAACATACTAGGTTTATATATCAACCAAACAGACCACATTGTACCATAAAATAGGAAACAATATTTGTACAAGATTTAGCCAAACGTGGCTGTGAGTGTGGGAGGTAGTAATTAATAGACAGAGCATAATTCAAGAATGGTAAATCGTAGAATAATAGTTCGTAGGTGAAAATAAAGCTCATAATAAGAGGGACATGAATATGGTAATTTAGTTACTTAACAATTATACAGTAAAAATATATGTATAGTATTGGTTGATAAATGGATCCCAAAAGTTACCATTCATTATTGCCATCGGAATATAACATAATTAAAGGCTTCTCGATGTTATAATCGGTGAATGGCAAATTGAACCAACTCACATTTTGTGTCAGACTTCATTTTGAATATGACTTAGCAGCTGATGATTGAGTTTTACATTTTTAAAATAAATAAATTCATTTATGATTGATAGATGCTTTGCAATGATACAATATGTCCTAGCAATAACTGCTCATAAGACCAAATTATTGATATTATCCCATATGGACTGATAATAGAAAACAAGTTATCCGCCCAGAAAAGTAGGGTTTTTTTATATGGTAAAATAACATGCTATTGTGCAAATTATTAACATAGTAATAATCATGATTAGACGTCTTAGGCGTTCAGAGGAAAGCAGTTTATCGGTAACACAATCATTCGAACTCTTCATATTTATCTAAATACATTTTTTTACAGGAATACTATTGGCGAGACAGTTTTTGACTTAAACAACCACAAGCAACATATGAGAATTTGTTGTGAATAGATTAGAAAACTTGAAAAGTTCATTAAGGTTTAAATGACTTCGGTAGTAAGGAACAAAATGCTTGTTTGGCCAGTTTGTTATAATCATTTATAAAATATTTCTATTTAAGGTATATAGGGAGTCATTTTGAGCATAGCAAATAACGTTTCCTAGATAGACTAAATGGGATAATCACATGATTACAATCTATAACAATATATAACAGCTAAACTTCATATTTCCTAATGAATTCCAACATCTCTTACATATTTCTCATCAAGTAATAATTGTAAAGCCGCGTTTTATGTATAAAGCCAGTGTGTAGATATACGGAAGTTTTACAGCATATGATATGCACAATATTTTCCATTCCAATTTTTCTTAACAGAACTGTTTGACTGTTCCGTTTTAAGTTATTGATTTAAACGAGTGACATTTAACAAACGGGGCGGTACTTGTAAATTCTATTCCATATATTTTAATTTGAGCAGCTGGTTAGTATTCCAATAAGTTCCACAGTTTGAAACCTTGGAACGGATATTATGAAAGTTGGAACTGGTTTTTTGGATTATTATTAATTATGATTTTCAGTATGGGGATTTGTAGAAATTGTAGTAAGTTTAACAGTTGAATTCATGAGTCGATCTGATCTAGATCACCATTGAAAACCCGGAAGTACTGGACATCCGTTCCGTCCTATAATGGGACTCCTCATTAGTATGTATTCACAATTCCGCTTGCGGGACTCGAAACGCGAACCTCTGGTCTCGCGCACATACACTTAACCTCCAGACCACTGAAACCGATATCGAACGGTGTTGGTTTCTAACTTCAATCGGTTCATTTCTTGTCTGAGTTGGATAACTATCTCACATACGACACGGATTGGACTCCACTGATAATTATAATTTTATTGCATGATTACTAAAGAACTAGATTACTATGTAAATATATATCCCACTCATCATAAGTTTCCGGTTTACTCATTAACTACTGTTATACGATTTATTATTGTTGCTAGTCTATTATCGAAATGCTTTCACACGGCTACGTGCATACAATCGTTGCCAGGGAAGTCCTACTCACTTCCTTCTCATGGCGGGAGTGTTGTTTACGAAATTGAGAGGACGGAAAGCGAATGTCCGGCACTTTAACCGGGTTGGTGGATATGGAGTATTCACCTAGGGGAGTTGAAAAACCCTGATTCGAAACCAGTGATGCACATGGGCTCCAGTATCCTGAAGTAATAAATGGCGTATGAGCCAATCGTTGGTCACCGGCTACCGTGGAACTGCATCTCCTTACGATGCTCCACTGCCTTGTGGATCAGACTTTTAGTCGAAGGCTCCGGATGTGGCCCCCCATGAAAACCACCTGTTTCGGTCAGGGTTGGGCACCAGGGCAGTATCACAGCCCTCACATATATGAAATGAGATTTGTGTGGCGCATATGTATTTGTTGCCTCCTTATACCAATATCTGTGTTAAAATAAAATAAATAAATAAATAAATACAAATCCCATGTACTGATAATATTTATTAATAATAAAGTGTTCATAGTGTTAAATCTTAATTTTTTTTCTATTCTTTTCTAGGTAATTTCTATCAATTTATTATACTGATTATGACAAAAATATTTTATAAATGGATTATTAATTTACAAATTAAACAAACTACATTGATGTTGTCCTTATCAAATACACATAGGTAATCCATATTCAATTTCAATGAATGGAATTAAATTTAATTCAGATCAAAATGGTAATCAGTATAATGATAATAATAATTACATAGGACTATTGAATAATCATACTACATTATTTCCTACTAATTATAATAATACTAATTTATTAAATTTTGAACATATTTCTGATAACATTAATGAAGTTAATGTAGGACCATTATTAAAACAATTACAATGTGTTATTAGAGAATTAGTTGAATCAGAATCAGTTTATTTAAAAAGTTTATGTGATATTGAAGAGGTAAGTTATCATTGTGATATTTTGTTGTTGTTATTGTTTAATTGAACTTATATGTGATGATTTTTTCTTTCGAAAAAGAATTCTTTCTGTTGTAGTCTGGTATTTTCAACTGCACTGCACGTGTTTCTGACATTGTTTGGAATAGTCAGTCAGTAACAACGTATAACTTCGTACGTACGTAGATCAATTCGAGTTGCCATACCACATTAGCACAGAGATGCAGTGGTCGATTCAAATCTCATAGTGGTAGAGGTAGTAAGAGTATAAGCAGTAATCGGAAAGACTAGGGTTTGAAGATGTTATCCAAGGAGTATAATACAGTGAAATAAATTTGGAAAGAGAAACAAGAAAGGGATATGAAGAATTCAGAAGATTAGAGTTTGGGAGAACACAAGAAGTGGATGCACCTGCGCCATTGCAAACGATTTTTAGCCATGTTATTCAAGGTATCCAACTATCGGTTGCTATCATCTCGCGGATCCCAACTGGGTAGTTTACACCTACCAACATGGCTCAGTCCACTTGTCAGTGACTTCATGGATTTGTGCCATGTTTTGGTCTGGCCTCCCTAGCTCTCTTCCAACCTACTCCTATACCATTGAACATCGCACGTCGGGCAGTCGGTGGTTGGGGATACGTTTCACTACTTCATCAATTGATTTGCCATCCTTACCTAGTACCGGTTTTCTAACAACTGCGCTTGGAATATTATACCTCTAGATATAACAGTTTTCAATACTTGACTGATTCCGTCTATGGAGAGAGAGAGAGAGAAAGGATAAAGACTATGGCTTATCAATGTTTATTTCTGAAAGCTGATCAATAATATTTACTGCTTTTGTATATTTTCAGACTGAAAAAAAAATTACGGGTAATAAGTAACGCTGACTGAATGAATAATTCATTGTTTTTATTCAAGTATTCTATAAATGATACTGGCCGAAGAAAATCATTTTGAAACCAATTATGTAATCGTCATTCACATACAATCAAATGATTCAGGTTTATTGATACAAGTATAGAAAAATCAAACTGGGATTACAGATTTTAACTACTTGTAAAACACTTCGTTTTGTTTTTTCCTACATAGCTAAATATTCATCAAGTAATTTATTAGGAGTTATCATTAAAAATATCTGGTGAAATAAACTTATTAGAGTTTCTCTGAGACCACTTTCAAATAGTATCATATATAAATTCTAGAGATTGATTTCTGTTGTTCAGAATTTGTATACAATTGGTCTATAATTTCAAGTATATATTGTACTTAAAAGGTAATGATGATGATGATGACTTTGACCATTGTAAGATTGTAATTCAATACTCAACCTTAATCATGTCAGTTTAATGAGGTTATCATTTTTACCACAGTTTAGTAAATGTTATGCATCACATCACCTATTTGCTAACTTGCCTGGAATCCCAAGATTTAATGTGATGTAAGTAAACTTAACAGATTGCAATAAACTTTGTAAGTATAGTGTTATAGGGATCGTCGAATTTCATTGAAATCCTGGAAGCACTGGATAGCCGTCTTGTCCTGGTTTTGGACTTCTCGAAAGTCTGCATCCACAACCCCACATTGAAGAATTGAACTCAGGTCCTTCGGTCTCACATAAATAACCCAATACTTTCTATTATGTGTTCACTGATGACTAGCTTCGAGAGGAGATTCTCAGAGTTCTAGTTAAAAGCCGTGACCAATGGAGTTCAACAGTGTCAAATGAGAGGCAGTTACCCACCGAAGATAACGGGAGATGATCGTGCAATGTTGAGAATTAATTGAAGTTAGATATTGACATCATTGGATCCTGGCTCAGTGGTCTGGGTGTTAAGCGCTCGCGCTTGATTTAAGCTCCTGTGTTCGATTACCTCTTGCAGGATCATCGATAGTTATTGCAACTTGTGAGATAGCTCAACAGGTATCTGGTTATATTTATTCAATAGTTGAGCTGTTGTCAATTACGTCATTACAATTTCTAATTAGTTTATGTCTTCTAAATTTTATATCTCTAGTCTCTCTATAAAGTTAAATCACTGTATGCGTATGTGTATTTCCAATTAATCATGTTTATGCGTTAAGATGTTCTTAAGATGTTAATATTTCTTATGTAGTTTTCATCATGGACTGACCGCATTAACTGAAGAGTTAAGATTTAAGACGGTGTTTCACAGTGATCTTAATATCTTTCAATCAGTAATTTTGGATGTAAAATAGTATGTTTCCCCGGGTTTATTTTTCAATAGTCCTCAAGATGATATCAACTTGTAATGAAGAATAAATTCAAATCTATCAATCTATACCAATACCCTCTATTTTGATAATTTATTTTTCGTTGAGATTGAATGAATCAAACGATAAACTGTTTGATTAAATCAAACCATACAGTTAATCATGATGTTTACAAGTATAAATAGTCGAAAATGAATCTTATTTGTTCTATCTGGGTACATTACAAAGGTTAAATTAACTTGAACTAATGGTTCATCTAGTATCCACGGCTCCAAGTATTATTGTTTATTATCCTAATGTGTTTAATTTGTAGATTTACATTTATCAACATTTAAAAGCAAATGATTTATAGTTTAATTTATAAGCAAAAGATATTCAAGTCAGAAATAAAATTAATTGTACAGTTCTATTGTTTTTGATCATATGGATCATAAAAATTCTTATCTGACCTAAAGGATTTACTTCCCAATTAATCCATCGATTAACTTAATTAACATAATTAATTAGCATCATATAAAAGCCTCCATGTTCTTACCTCATTTTCCATCCTAAAGTTAGTTGTTTCCTGTAAGCATATAAGAGGAGATTAAGGAATTCTTACTCCATCGTACTTCTCACTGTTCTCTAAAGTATTTTCTACCATCGATTTTCATCAAGCAAGTTATATTTTCACACTTAAATTATGGTTTTGTGCATTAAGCTGGAGAATTTTATTATTCAGGTTATAGAAATTTAGCGTATTCTAGTTTAGTTTATTCAGAGTTTTACATTCAACTGAGAAAGACTTTTAAGTGTTGTTTTAAGTAACACTGGTAATGTATTGGGACCGAGTTTTTTTATTCAATAATAATTGTTGACTGACAATGTTTTGTTTCACTAGTTCAGGTGCTTAACTATTCAGTTCAACTTCCATCTGACATGCTTCAATGTGATCAGTGGACGTGTTTCACACTATTTTAAGATAAATTAACTGAATTTCACAAGAATGTGTCCAGTTGCTCATTTACAGTCCATGGAAGTTATTTATAGAGAAAACCTAGTGGTTTTCAAAATCGTTTATTGTTTTAATTCTCAGAGATGGGTGTTATGACTAATTATTTTTGTCAGGTGATATTATAATCTAAATAATGACCGATTATTTCTATCACTGGATCGTCAGTAAGTAGACTGGTCTTTTGACATCAGTCAGTCAACTACAACGTAGGACCAGGCACATATGTGCATCCGTCCAGGTTGCCATACCGCATCACCACAACAAGATGAACACCGGATTCATAGCAGTGGTTAGGTCAAAGGTGGTAATATATAAGAGAAAGATTGCATATAGAGATATAGTACAGGAAGAAAGAATTGGTTCGTAGAAAGAAAGATATGAAGTGATTTTAATCTCTTAGTTTAAGGGAAGACAAAGAGTGTATACACCGACGCCATTGTGATCGATTCTGAGCCATGTCACCAAGAGTCTCCAACCATTGGTTACGAAAGTCACGCGGACCCCAACCAAGTAGTCTGCATCTACCAACATGGCTCAGACTAGAAGTTAGTGACTTCAAGCACTGATGCCACGTTTTGGTTTGGCCGCCCCTAACTTTCTTCCAACCATCCCCTACACCGGTTAGCATTGCACGTCGTGGTAATCGGTGTTCAGGCATACGTAAAACGTGGCCAACCATCTCAGTCGATGAAGATTCATAACCTCATCAACTGATTTACCATCATTCCCTAATACCCTGCGTCTAACCTCACTATTACTTACCCGGTGATCCCAGCAGACGCCAGCAATATTTCTAAGGCATCTGTGGTCAAATACTAGTAGCTTACGAGTGTCTTCTACTCTTAATGGCCGTTTCGCTGCCGTAAATTAAAACAGAACGGACTGCCGCGCAGTATACTCGTCCTTTTATTGATAGACGGATATCTCGCCTTCGCCAAAGGTGACGTAAGTTGGCAAAAGCCAAACGAGCTTTTCGAATCCGTGCTGAGATTTCGTCAGACACCAACCCATTAGGGCTGATCAGACTTCCAAGATAAGTGAAGTTGTCAACGCGTTCGACTACTTCACTCCCTATCCTTAGTTCAGGTGTTGACGCAGACCAGTCCTGAAGCAACAACTTGCATTTAGAGGGAGAGAAGCGCATTCCAAACATTCTGGCATTGTTGCTTAGTGCTACCAGAAGACTCTGCATTTTGTCAGCGTCTTCACCAAACAGGACTATGTCATCTGCGTATTCTAAGTCGATAAGTGGACCTCCTGGAAGGAGATCAATACCCGAGAATTCAGTCGACGAGAGTTATTTCCATCATAGGTCTATGATGAAGTTAAACAAAAATGGAGAAAGTGGACAGCCTTGACGGACACCACTTGAGGTTGCAAAAGTAGATGACAGTTCGCCATAAGCCTGACTCGACTAGTAGTGTTCGAGTAAAGAGCCTTCACAAGGTTTATGTACTTCTGAGGTACGCCTTTCAATGACAGACACTGCCACAGAATCTCGCGGTCTACAGAGTCAAATGCTGCTTTTAAGTCAAGAAAGACCACCATTGTCGGACGCCGATAAGTATGCCTGTGTTCTAGAACCTGACGAATGGTGAATATGTGGTCGATGCAGCCACGACCAGGTCTAAAGCCAGCTTGGTTCTCTCGTGTTTGCAGTTCACGAGTCTTAGTTAGGCGTCTGATAATTATCGAGGCTAGTATTTTAGATATTATATTAGTTAAACTAATCCCTCTGTGGTTGTCACAGGATGATTTTGACCCTTTCTTATATATTGGGACGATAAGTGATTGCGACCAGTCAGATGGGATAACGTCTAACTCCCAGATCTTAGCTAAAATATTAGTCAACCTAATCGCTAAAATTGGACCACCATCCTTAAAGACCTCTGGAGCCAATCCATCTGGACCAGCTGCCCTTCCTCGTTTCAGATTAACTATAGCCTTTTGAACTTCAGCAAGAGTTGGGGGACCTACTTCAATGTTCCATTCACACTGTCTGGGAATGGAGGGTAGTTGTAGAGTAGCTGAAGGCCAGCTGAACTGTTCTCTGAAATGTTCCGCCCATCGTTCTAAACGTCTGGACTGGGAGCAGATGAGAGTATCGTCTTTTTCCGAAATAATCTCACTTACACTTGACTTATTAATTCCAGTTTCTTTTATTAGTCTGTAAAGCTGTCTTGTGTTCCCTATAGTCGCCGCCTTTTCCATCTCTTTTGCTTTCGTTGCCCACCACTGCTCACGGTCGTTCCTTAGACTTTTTCTTAACCTAGATCTGATTTGTTTACGCTCTTCATCATGTTCAGAACCTGATGGGACGAGTTTGCGAGAATCCATCAGTGTGACAGACCTTGAAGAAATCCACTGGTTCCTTGTAACTCTGTGGTTTAAGTCACTAATAGATGTCACTGCTGTTTCCACAGCTGCTTGTATGTCTTCCAAGCAACATCTGGGTCAGCCTCGTCTTCACAACTACCTAAGTGTGACCTCAGTTGTTCCTGGAACCTACTTTTGGTTTTCTCGTTACTCAACTCAGTTCTAATGGGTCTTTTTAATGTGGCTTTTTTGCGTCCAGTGAGGCGCAAGCAGATGCGTGCCCGTATTAGGGCATGGTCGGAGTCCAAGCAGGTACTCCAGAATGAGCGACAATCTTCTACCGACCCTCTCCAACGATGACTGATGGCAATATGGTCTATTTGAGTCCATCGTTGGTTTGGTGTAGGGGGTCGCCATGTTAGACGATGTCTCTCCTTATGCTTAAAATTTGTGTTTGCTAAAAATAAACGATTGTCTGAGCATAGCTGCAGCAGACGATCACCATTATCTGTTCGCTGTGTCGGAATACTAAAATATCCACCTAAATGCCTTTCTGTTTGGTTTAAACTACCTATCTGAGCATTAAAGTCACCCCTACGAGTACTATGTCTGAGCGTTTAGCTTTCTGAAGAAGTTCGGAAGCTTTCTGTAAAATTCATCTTTCACTTCATCTGAGCTGCAGTCAGTGGGAGCGTAGGCAGAAACGACAAAAAGGCAACGACGTGTGTCCCTATCCTTCCGAGTTCTTACGGAGCCGTTCAGCCGAACAGCACATAGACGACTGTTGACGGGGATCCACTCTAGCAGTGCTTGTTCGCCCTCATGCTTAGTGCTATGCCTACACCTGCCAGTCCACGAGAACTGGCCATCGGGTCACCAGATACACGAGGGTGTATCTCGTTGGCTCTCCGTTTTGCCGAGGTGAGGTCAAGTGAATGACCACACTGGAATCCTGTATGCGTGTTTCGGAGACACAGCATACATCAATGGAAAGAGACTCTAGGGTTTTAGCCAAGGAAGCCTGCTGACCGATTTGACATAGGGTGCGTACGTTGAAGGCTCCAATGTGTAGTTTGGAGCGAGGTTTCAGTAGACCTGGGACAGAGTTTTGAGCACTAGAATCGTTGGCTATGGTGACACTTGAGGAGGAAGCCGAAAGAGGAAGTTTAGAGTTGAAAGTCGATGTAGGAGGAATAATAGGAATTGAAGAGGAAGGTTGATTATGAATACAGTGGTCTTGAGTGCTGTTAGAGGTATGAGGGCGGTTATCACTTCCCGGTTGCCCACACCGTGGAAGGGTTGTTCTGGAGGTACCTGAAAAGGAAATTGGATTAGAGGTGGTCTCAGTGACCTGAGAGCGTGACCGCAGTGCCCAAGGGACAACTGCTTGAGGCCGGTCGCGCACGGCCTTTTCGTGGAAGGTTTTTACGTGTTAGCTCCGTTCTTCAAAGGGCCTTACCGCCGGAGACGGAAATCCGTGAGGTAAGGTGAGGTGTGCATTTTTAGGGTCGACCTTTTCTAACCCCACCCCTCCTTGTGGGAAGGCAGCATCGCTGTCATGCTGGTTGTCTGAAGGAAACACCTTACTGCTGTCACACCTCTGTACAGTCAGCAGTACGACTTCGCCTTCGGACCTTGGGTTTGTTGCTTTTAGTCTTACCGCTCTTCAACCGACCTGTCTGACATGGTAGGACCTTGAGGAACGGTTGTTCCAGCCAGTATAGCTCGGTTGCTTCATCACGATAGGCAAGCCCGACCACCACGTCAAGGTAGCAACAACGGTCGGGTTTGACATTCAAGAGATAAATACCTCATCTTGATACATTGAGGCTTCCCTCTAATCTCTATTGAATGCATCAACATTTCGTAAAAGAAGATGTTAAACAATCTAAATGGTTGATACTGTAAAATATTTCATCGTAAGAATTGTGTTGCATGGACAGTTATGGTTCATAATAGTCAAGTGTTCTACCCAAACAGTATCACACAATGATGTTTAATTGTTCTTTTATCAACTCATTTTCAAGTCATAACACCTGTTACATAATAGTATTGTGAACTTGACGGATAAGATAAATCTGTTTCTGCATATCTGACCCAAGATTTAACTGGTCAGTCTTAAGGAATAAATTCAAGCGTATTCCATCCATTTCGACATTTTCGACCAAACATAATATCGTAAACTCATGAGCAGTATAGATGTAATAATTTCGTAAATAAGTATCCACTGAGTCAATAAGATGAATACATTATTGTTTCAAGCAACACATGCATTCAATGTGTCGAAATTTAGGTTATATAGTTTCTTTTCACATTATCAACATGAAGAGTTGATATAAAGATAGTTATTAGTGTTATTCACATTTGTTTTCGTTTTGTTTTCTTCATAGGGTTACTTATTACGTTTAAAAACAAACCAAAGTGTAGATCAACAATTTCTCGATGTCGTCTTTCATAAAATTTCAGATTTACGAGTTTTTCACGCGTAAGTTTATACAACTTTTTTTTCTTAGCGTTGTTGTTTTGAGCATCTGTGATTTCGTTTTTAATATGCTTATCTATCGGTAAAATTATGGTGTACCAACGGCCTTCACCAATTAGAATTAGGATAATGCTTCACGTATTTTGCACGAAATTTGTCAATCTTTGGTTATTAAAATGCTCGAAATCCATAGAGGTATCTATTATGCAACCAAAAAGTTGATTTTAAATTATGCTTTACTGAAATTACAAAACATAGCTGCACATATGACAGTTGGTGTGTTAACGTGCTTGGTGTAATTGGTTGTGTAAGGAAGAGTGTTTAGTGAAGCTGGATAATATTCTCCCTTTTAACTCTTACTCTAAATGTTAACCTTAAATTTTTGAAGTTTGTAAATAAAAGTGTGGTAAAGCATTGCACTGTAGCTGATGTCAGTTCGTGAAGAAAACCCTGACTCTAATTTATATACCTGACTCGAAACTTCAGTTTAACTGTTAATACCTAGGCCTAATCTTTTTGTATTATAACTGATGTCAGCTGATGATAAAGACTCTATGAGATTATAACCTGAACCTATGGAGGTGAGAACCCTAACTTACAACACTAGCTCGACTCCAAATACGTAAATGTGACCTTTTTCCTTTTCTGCAAGGAATAATTTAACATGTGAATCATAATAATTCAGATCAAAGCTGTTATTTTGTTGGTTTTTATTTTGAATTGCTTTATAACTAATCAACGTCTTCTGAGTGGTTGATAAATTACCCAATGTTGTCAGTATAAATTTCGATAGAGCGATAAATAGACTGAGTTGATCTGAAAAATTTGATGTATTTGCGCTATACATTTCGAACAGTCTGGTTACACATGTACTCAGTCAGGGAATCTTATATGAAAATTAACAAAGGTTAATTAAATGAAGGCTCGAGTAAACAAAGTAATAAAGGAGAGAGAAAATCAACATGGTATACAAAGAATAGGAAATTATTGCATTACCCTAGTTCATAAAATGACTTATGGAGAACCAGGGTAAATTCATGGTTACGACAAGTTGTTTTTGTACACGCAAGAGGGGTATAAATTTACGAATAACTAAGGTTTCTATAAACCTTGGCAATTCGTCCTTGATAATTTCAAAACAATGTTTTAAAAGCTGTATTTGCGATATCGTAATAACTTATGAAGCAGAAAATAATGGCCAATTGCCCTTTTTAGACATACTTTTGAGTTGAAGGGAGGATGGACTAGAAGGTCAGTTTGTAGGAAACCAACTTGGACGGGGCAATACTTAAATTTCCACAATTTCTGTCCATTGCAATACAAGCAAGGCTCGGCTAAGTGTCTCTTTAATAGGATTCAAAGAATATGCATTACAGATACACTTGTAGAAGACGAAAAAGTGCTGACTGACACACTAATGTCAAATGGTTATCCATTAAAGTTTATAAGTAGGAGCAAAAATCAATCAACATTAAAACCTCTTGTTTATTCTGCTCCGAAGAAAACTGTTTATATCTGTCTACCATTTAGAAGTGAATCTAACAGTATAGTTTTCAGAGAGATTAAAAGCAGCCATCGAGAAAACCTATTATGCTGTTCAATTGGTTGTGATTGACAAGTCTAAGCCCATTATTCCAAATAGACCTAGACAATGCACAAATAATTACGTCAAATCCCATTGTATTTACCAATTTACATGTTTGTATGGACACACATACATAGGGAGGAGTAGTCGAACAATGCAATCTAGGGTGATTGAACATGTGCCTAGATAGCTTCAAAACCAATTAGTGTCAAATGTTCCGATCAACATGGAAAGTAGAAAATCATGTTCATAGATAACAAAACATATAATTGAAATGGGGTACAGAATTGACATCAATATTGCTTTTAAAGTAATTAGTCCCTTTTATAAATTTCGAAAGGATAATGAGAAGACGGAGTTGATCTGAAAAATGTGATATATTTGCGCTATACAATTCGAACAATCTGGGCACACATAAACTTGTCAAGGCATTTTATATGAAGATTAATAAAGGTCAATTAAATGAAAGTTTAAGTAAAAAGTAACAAAGGGGAGAGAAACAAATTTACATCGTATAGAAGGAATAAGAATGTGTCGCGTTATCCTAAGCCATGACTTAAGGATTACCGGAGTAAATTCAAGGTTACGACAAATTGTTTTTGTACACATAAGGGGGTTTAAATTTGTGAATAGGCTTCAATAAAATTGAGAATTCGTCCTTGGCGATTTCTATACCTTTTAAAAGCCGTGATAATGTCGATTTTGTGTCCCATTTCAATTATATGTTTTGTTATCTATGAACATGATTTTCTACTTTCCATGTTGATCGGAACATTTGACACTAATTGGTTTTGAAGCCATCTAGGCACATGTTCAATCTAGAACAACATATATAAGCGAACAATATTGTTTTTGATTAGATCTTCATCAGGCTTTACTCTAATATACAGTAATATTTATATGCATATATGAAATTATTAAACCGATCAAGGTAGTTTATGCGTCAATGATAACTATGAAAACGATTGCATAATAAGTGAATAGTACAAATTGATAGTGTGATAACAGGTGTACTAGGTTTGATAAGAATAATAAAGGCTCAAATCAATGTTACATAATGGGGAAATAGGTCAATGATTAGAAAAATATAGACAGTGAAATAACATTGATAAAATTATAAGATGACGTAATAAGAAATGTTCAGATAATTGGACCGTGAAATGTATATTTTGAGAGAAAATAAAATAAAGTGGTAGGAGGGGGTGAAGAAAAATAATAAACGAAGAGAAAGTTTGAAAAATTAATAAATAAATTCATCTATTAAGGCCAAGGGAGAGATAAGGGTGTTACAAATTTCTTCTGAACACAAAGACTTGGATTGTTGGTTCGAGTCCTATAGCTTCTGCTATGTGTAAGAGACGAGATCGAACACCATAAGGGAAACTAGTGGGAATACGATAAATAATTTTAAATGGCTTGTTTCTATCCACTACATGACCGCTATCGATTAAGTGTGATCGAACCGAGCTGCGTATTGTCTTGAAGTTACCTTTTTCTAACCACGAAAGGAGGTGTTCACTAACTCGTTGGTTCAGTTGCCTGGTAGTGCGCCCAATATAGCTTTTTCCACAGGAGCAGCTGAATTCGTAGATACACACTGAAGGATAAGTTACCTCGTTATGCCACTTCTATGTGTATTGTCATAGACAGAAATTGTGGAAATTTAAGTATTACCCCGTCCAGGTCGGCATCTTGTAAACTGATGGTTTTAGGAAAACTTACACAGTTTATTATGTATTGGGTTTAGCAATTTTACTAGTTCATATATAGATGAACCACGCATAGATAATATTGGTTGTAATGGATTATTAATTTTATGGATTTTAGGCATTCCATATAAATTCAGTCAGTATAGTTTACCTTCACTTATAGGTCTTCTTCTTGACAAATTCATGTTGCCATGAAATGTGTTTATAAATTTTACTAAATACACAGAAAATTTATGTCAATTTACAGTGATCTGTTATTATTGATCAGTTGAAGTTGTGAATTCCAATTATTCACTTTTATTCTTTCTTTATTTTTTGGTTAATTGTTGAAATAGGTATGTTATTAGTGTATCATTTAAACAAGATTGAATGAATTATAAGTATCAATACTCAGGATTGAAATTGATAGTTTCAAATAAATTGACTATTAGGTTGAAAGTTAGTCATAAATTATCCCAATGATTAGAAATTCTTATTCCTAACGTTTCGTGACTTATAGTAGGACACTTCTTCAAAGTAAATAAATAAGTAAACGACAATAATACAGGTTGAAATAGTAATACAAAAGAAACAAAGCTGAATATTTCTTATTATAATCAAAATCAGGTCTGTACATATCAATATCATGTTACTTTCGGTCAATCTCCACTATTTTTTTATATGGATAGTCAGTCAAAAGTAGTCTTATGAAAGGGTCATTTAATGGCAATCAGAAATCACCACCTAAAGGTCAAGTGCTTTTTAATCGGGTCAATGGGTCAACTTCCTAAAGATAGAATGGTGTATATACGAATAAGTATTTGTGCATTTCATTCAGTAGTCCAATACACTTTCTCGCTCACTCTTATGTTCTCGCTCAAGGGGTTAGCGCGTAACACACTGTGTATCATTATCGAGATATCGGACTCTGCATGTCACAATTTCTCATACTCATTGTCATCCATACAAATAAATACAGTGATATGTTGTGCAGAATCAATCACCTTGTGTTATTTATTGATTCACTCTGAAGAAATGAATTAAATTAAGTCACAAAACATCAGAAATACAAATTTCTACTCATTGGGATATTACAAAAAGACCTTGAAAGTGTCCACCTGATAACTAGGACTGAATGAGGTTTATAAACCTGTGTGGGGAATTAGAATTATGATTTACAGTTGATGGTTGAAGTTAGGAATTACATTTAGGGTTTTCATCACGAACTGACATCAGCTATAATGTCAAAAACTATTTATCCAAATGGATGAGTGGGTTTCGCGCCAAAATCCGAGACCTATTATCTTATACCTGGTTGGTTCGTCCAGAATTGATCACAGTTAATCAAATATGTATGGTATTCGATAAAGCGAATACTCATACAAACTGATTTGTGGCATAGTGTTGATATCTATCATGCCGAATTAAAATTAATCTTCTTTTACAAGTTTTATATGTTGTACGTGTGTGTGTGTTGCTTTAGTGACTCAGATATTAGATGCACATCTATTGGTGTAATACGATTGAAATTTACTTCATCTAGGAAAATCTAGACTAGTCAACGTGATTGACGCATCCCTAAGTATTATGTTTTTAAGTTGTATGCTTTTTCTTATCACAAATTAATAGTATGTTGTTTTATGTATTTTTTGAAAACTAATTCTTAGACAACTTCATTCCGATCTTTATTTGAATCGTGAAAATTTTATTCAACTTGGACGAGTATTTCTAGTTAATGCAAAACATTTTGAAGAGCTCTATGTGGATTTTTGTCTTAATTATCCAAAGTAAGTGTTTTTTTCCAAATAGTTTTCATAATTTACAGTTGGTGTCCTTAAGTTCTCATAAGGACACTAGTCGATTTTCTAGAGTCTCTATATTGTTCTTGATTATAATGGTTAGGATTAAGGGATTAGGTTCAAGGTTTTTAATCATCAACTGACATTAGTTGGTACAAAACTTGCTCTTTGACCATTTAGATGAACGAATCTCAAAAATCCATGAAATACAATGCTAATAGGTTACTGTTTGCTTCAAGGTTCCAAGCTCCAGGTCAGGATTTGAGGATAATGTCAATTTTCTTGTTATGTACAGTTTTACAAAGAAAGAATTGAGTATTTGATGCATTTAATGATATCACTTTCACCATGTGGTGGCATTATACTAAGATGTTTCTACTGCTCCTCCATACCTTGGTATTTGAATTTTGTTCAAAAACCTAAAAGTTGTGTTCTCAATTGTGACTAATTTTTCCCTATACTATAGTCTTACCAATGAAGCAAGCTTAACTTCAATGTTCTGACAAGTACCTATACTGTCTATCTGTAAGACAACTGGTTAAAATATATCGAATAATTCAATTATTTCATCTCATTGAAATTTCCAACTTCAGTGATTAATAATTAGTACTCACAGTAGTCTCTTTACTTCATGTTTTAATATGTTTGTTTTTCTTCTTATGATGCTGTTCAAATTTCTGTTAACTCGTATTAAAAGTACATAATGAGCAGAACTTTAAAATAGTTCCCATATACTTTTCGCAATGATTCTTCGAAATTGTTCATTGATATTTATCTTATTAGTGTTGTAAAACAAGACAAGGGATCAAGGTTTATTGTGAGAAATTACAAAATGTTTAGATAATATGTATACATAGCCCTCGGCTATCTATTTGTATCTTGTCTGTTTTTCTATGCAAACTGTATTCTCTTTTGGTTTTCAAGTGTGTTCGGCTGTTGAATTTTCTCACATCTTGTTTGTTAGATTGATTTAGATTAAGACGTCCAGTTTAAGCCAGTGAAATCAACTGACCACCCCTCGTCTTCTGTATAGAAATAACAAAACATATCATGAATAATTTCCATTTTTCCCACCTCTCTCCCTATATTTCATACATTCTGTTGCGGTTGGTTACTGCTATTTATTTTTGGGGATTATGCAACTTTGTACGGTGTTCCAGCCGTGTTAAGGTTGTCAAACCCTATGCAGTGACGCCGAACAGCTTTCCGGTAATGGTTTCCGTTTCTCACGATTCACAAACCTATCGCATTTGGGGTATACGTACCCTGTAAGCAAATGTACGTTTCATGCACGCCGGTAGCACACATGTTTTCACTCATGTATCCCTTGGCATATATATATATATATATATATATATATATATATATATATATTCGCCCACTTAGGAGGTTAGTTGGTCACCTCTCCATTCGTACGTGTTAGCTACAACTGACTGTCACTTATGCATTTATTGCGTATCACTCTTACATCACTTACATTCTTGTTGATAGTCCGGCGCGTGCCCTTTGAATATACCTACATACACAACTAAACATGTCGAGATCATGCAATTCATATACATAAGCATACACATCGATCAGCCCGCAATGAATCCGGTTTACTGCAGATTGGGAGATTAGTCCGTTCTCGTTGACCACCCAAGTTAGATAGAAAGGTTTCCTCTACCACCCAGCAGCACTGTGGAGAGGTCTTAGGTCAGATTTTTCTCTGTACGATTTTGTCAGTTTTTCGTTACTCTAACCTGATTTTCGTCGCTGTGGTGTGTGTGTGTTCTTGTTCATAAAAATATCTGTGAGTGTATGTATGTTTGAAAGCTTAATCAATGCCCGAACTAGTTATTTGAAGTTTGCCTATGTTCTTTATATGATAAAGATTATTTTCCTGGAAAAGATTTGTTTGTATTTATTTGTATTGTTCATTGGATTGTATTTTCCTGTATACAGAATCTATAAAACAGAATTATTTTAGGCCAAATTGCTTGTCTTAATAATTTTCTATATGTAAACATTTAATTGAATAAAATAGTGATTATTTATTTCGTTAACCTCTTATTATTATTATTATTATTATTATTATTATTATTATTATTATTATTATCATCATCATCATCATTACGATGGAATCATTTCTCATTCTAAAGAAGATTCTCTTTCCAAATCACTTCTAACCGTAACTAGGTAGTTACCATCGAAATTAATTTGTAAATTGTATTTACTTATCGTTATTCTTTTTTATTGTTTCTTTTATATTTTGCCTTTCTCTCTTTTTTTATTACAAACAAAAACTTATCGACTAACTAACTGACGGACTGTCAACTAAGCTCAGCATGAACACATCTATGACCAATTAGAATAAGTTGTCAAATTTTTCGTCTAGTTGTTTCGAAAAAAAAGCCTAGCTTTTTTGTCTACTCCTTATTGATCGATTTTAGCATATACAAGGTCAAATGATGTTACCTATTGTATTCCGATTGATCAGATTTTTCATAAGGCTTTTGTCATTTATTTTTTACTGTTGGGGGGGGGTATCGCGTTTAGTGTTACTGTTTCTATCGCAAACCACGTGACTAACCAACGAGTATAATAAATGGTGTATCAGGCGAGACTATAATTTATAGATGACCTTTGAGCGATGGGTTAGACTATGCTCTACTGACGGCTTTAATCGAACAATCAAAACTAAGCTAACCGATGATCGATTTTAAAATGCTATTGCGGATAGCATGTTGCTATAACTCATAATTTTAATTTTATTTCACATTTCGGAAGAATTAGATGATGTTTTCCTTGTCGAATGAGCTGTTGAGGTCAGTGTGTTTGCATTAGGAATGTTAAGGTTAAGAGCTATGGTTAAGGAGTTTCAGGGTAAGGAGTCAGGGTTAAGATGAAAAGTGTGTTGAGAGCAAGTGTCAAGGTGTATTGGGGGAACTTCAACCACTTACTACGGTCGAAATGGGATCATAAATTAGTGTGAAGAATTGAGACTAGAAGTGTCATGGTTATAAGTTAGGATTAGGAATTAGAATTAGGTTTTTTTATCACTAATTTACATCAGCTACAATTCTAAAATGTAACTTACCTATTTGGATGAATGAATTCCGTGCCAATCCAGATCAAAGACTCGCAATTTTAAATCTGATTGGCTCTCTCTGGTCAAGAGGAATAGTTAAAAATGTGTAGTAACTATTTATAACTTATCAGGCGTTTCAGTTACAAATCCATAATTTTTGTATTACCATTAGCCAAAGTAAGAAATGGATAAATGACGGTAGAGAACTTTGGCAGATGTCCAGAAATACACAACTAAACAATGGTTTTCCAGATGGTTTCATCAAAATATATTTATTGGAACAGATTAATGGGTCAGACGCCGATACACTATATCTAACTTGTATGTCTTATCATGACCCCACTCCACGAGTGGGTCATCACATACTGTAAACCCTTATCTATATAATCCTCCCTTGTGTTTGTGGTTATCTCTACTTTGTCCTATTTTTAATTTACACATTGTCCTTTCTCAATTCATATAAATTTCTTATCATAATTACTCTGATAACACCTCTCTTATTAAAGATTATATTTACATGGCATAGTAATAATAATAATATTTTCTCAATTAAGTCTATAAAGAATCTCACCCCACTATTTATTTTACTCACATAATTCGTTTTCTTATACTGATTATGGCTGAACAATTCACAACGAATTTTCCTACACTTGTTTTAGTGACCTTTCTTATTTAATAATGATTATTATGGTGTATATAGGTCTTAAATGATGCAAAAGTTCGCTATTTGAATGAATAACATTATCTAACTCACTTAAGAATGCCTTATTTTTGTCATCCTAACACGGTAATTTGTTGAAATCATGAATTGATTTATGACCGCTATTGAAATCCGTACGCGGGGATCGTAAATGCTCACAGCTGAAAAGTCTCATATTAAGACGAAATGGCCATTGAGTGCTTCGTCAATTTTAATGCTGGTCTAACTTAAATGGTTTCACGATTTCAATGAAATTCGACAATCTTCACAACCCTGGAGCTCTTTTAGGGTTACTTCTGGTGTGAAGCCTAGATAAACGAGGAGGGTTGACATTGGGTTAGCAAATTTATTCCGTAGAAAGGAATCCTAGGAAAACGCTTTAAATGAATTTGTTGAAAAGTATTTCTTCGTTGAATAAATTGTTATATGGTTTATTGGGTATATATTTAAGTTAAATAAATATGACATTGTTAGATTAATAAATTACATTTGTGTAGGGTTATTGATGACTTTATTAATGTAAGTACACTATCAACTGATAATACACAAACGATTGTAAATTAGCTGGCTACATCCATTTAGACTCATTCAGGGATTATAGGAATAAAAATGTCTGAAGAAATACTTAATTATATTCTCTCTTCATTTGTTAATTCGGTTGTTGGTTTAATTTCTCGAACTATAAGTACGGTTAGACAGATATATGAGATTTTGCAGCTTGTTCATCATTATTGCTCATATTTCTTAGCTGCTGAATAGTTTTTTTAAAAATTATGATGTAATTAGAGTAAATCTGAAATTACACTTGAAAGAATGCTTCATATAGATCATTCAACCGTTTAGGTTCGCGCAAACTGTGTGTATTCCTACTTCTGTTAATTTAAGTTCAATTATTCCTTGGTAGAAATCTCATCGTTCTTTGGTAAATAACCCATTCACTTCATTCATAGAGCAGTTGAAGATGAAATGCTTCAAAAGCATTGGTTATTTTCTCTGGAAAGTGTCGTTCACATCTTTTGAAAATTATATTCTTATCTGAAGTTTAATATCGATCCACTGAGTTGCTGTCACAACTTAACCTAATATACTGTTATAAGGACGTGTAAAACACATGCGAGCAGCCTAGAGTCTGATTGACCCTGCTTTCCGCCTAGCCCTGCCTGCCTGTTAAGTCCGGAACATCAATCCGAGCCTCTGCGATATAAATCATGTATTTCAAACATACTCTGTTTGTATACCAATCAAGCAGACCACATCGTACCATCAAAATAGAAAATAACATTTGTACAAGATTTGGTCAAATGTGGCTGTGAATGTGGGAGGTAGTGATTAATAAACGGAATAATTCAAGAATGATAAATCGTATAATAACAGTTCATAGGTGAAAATAAAGCTCATAATGAGAGGAATATGAATAGTTTAGTTGTTTAACAATTATACGCATAGTATTGGTCCATAATGGATCCCAAAGTTACCATTCATTATGCTTATCGGGACCTAACACTTACCTTTTCATATAAGCTTGAAGTGGCTTTTGAAAATGAGTTTAATATCACAACTGTTGAGAGTTAATAAGTCCCCGGTTGCTGTCATATTTTGTTCCTGGATGTCTTCAATAACAACATCAGTATTAGTAGTAATATGCATTCAATTGTTAAATTCCATCCATTTCTCAGAGTATTCAATCATGAATAGTCATTGAAATTTGATGTACTGTATTTGTTAACTGGAATTTTTAGACTAAATTTTAGTGAGAACTGTTTCCAAGTACATTAGAAACTTAAAGTACTTGGAAATAATTTTATATACACGTTCATATCTTTATTCGTTGAGAAGTTTCATAAATCATTGAATATATGAAAACTGTTCATTTTTCGTAAAGTATATTTCTTTTCTTTTTCTCTCTAAAAAAAACCCACTCAGAACTATTCGTTTGCTTGAAGAAGCCCAAAAATCTCGTACAGATACTTGGATATGTCTTAACAATTGTCAGTCAGAATTACAACATCAACTTCCTCTTGCCACATATCTTCTCAAACCAGTACAACGTATACTCAAGTATCAATTATTTTTACAGGTAATTTAGTGATTATTTTAAATAACGTAAATTTATGTTTGTTACATGACCAAGTACTCAGTTGGTTGCATTTGTTTCAAAGTATTAAATTCTTAAAATAATCAAACATTTATTGAATCAGTGGTCTATTCATACTTTTCAACTGTCGATGTTATTTAGGCTATGGTACACTTTAAATTTATTACAAACGAGAGGTGACATTTTAAAAATTAGGGTTACATTATTTGAAAAGACGTAATTCATAAATTATTTCTAATTGAATGTTTATCACACAGAGTTGTTACACAACACTTTCGGGCATAATATAAACGGGTGAGGGGTCTTTCATTACTGTAGTGTGTCGAAAAACCATTTTATGCGTTAAAATTGTAGAACAGAACTTAGTTGATTAGATTTACTATTGTTGCAGGTGATGGTGTGGCCTAGTATTGACGGTAACATCACATTATGATATTAATGTAATGACAAAAAGAAAAGACGTTCTTGAGTTGTGTTGAGGACAGGTGATCAGCTCATTTAATCGTATAGTAGCTGTATTATCTAGTCCGAATGTTGGTTAGGTCGTCTGGATTTTCATGTGTAGGACCAATGGACTCAATTACAGTGAGACAATGACTGCAATCAACACTTCATGTCTAATGATCCCGGATGCATTTCCCCATCCTTTCTTGTCTGACTGACTGAACAGAGCAAGAAACACATCGGGCAAATAACTTCCATTGTACAGTTTCATTCATAACTCAAATTTGTAGGGCAATATCGGTTAATTTCCAGGCCACATACCTACTTAATTAAGAAATTACAATATGTGCATAACTACTCCACAAATGGAACTGAACTCAGTAATTGGTCAATAATAACTTACAGAAGGTGAAACAAAGAACATTAGTTTATACACCAAATGAAAGCTTACAATTAGAACAATAGAAGGGTGCAGTAATTTAAGTGTCTAATAATTATACAATAAAATTATTATTACATAATTCTTTGGAAGATAATCTAAAAAGTTATATGTTCACAATATTCACCTCATTATAGGAGATATTTAATTGATTTTTCGATTCCTGTTCGTCATTCACAAACCAGTATTCATTTGGTTACTTATTTTTTTCTGTACCACTATTGACATAGAAGTTTTTCGTGAAGAGGAAAAGTACTATGATCACATTTCTTGTCATTTCGTCCTTTATTTATCTAATTACTTCTTTTTTTATTTTATTCACCCTCTCTTTTTTTTAATCACAATTAGGAATGTGTCAAACATTTAAGTCAAATAACAACAGAACTATCAAATTCGAAATCTTCAGTACCAAGTAGAGATTTATCGATTAGCAACACTGTAGGTCTTTCAGAAAGTAACAATGATCAGAATAACGATTTATTGTTGGAGTTTTTCAATCATTCTATTTATACATTAAGACAAGCATTGGAACGTATGATTCAAGTGAGTGGTATAATTTCACTAGATATAAATTGTATGTAATACATTTTATCATTTCTAAACGATCTTTTATATCTCTTATTTGCGTATCAAAATGACTCCACTTATCGCTGTACAGTTTCACATAATTGGGTTGTTGCTATGTTGTGTGCGAGCCTAACTAGGTACTGTGGTGAGAAAACTGAGAAGAAAGTATTTATTATCTGAGTCGAGTTATCACTCTAATATATATATATATATATATATATATATATATATATATATATATATATATATATATATATATACCACTTGTAAATTGAAACCATGTTTTCTACCAATAGGGCGTCTTATTCTTTGAAGAAGGAAGCCTTATTTTGGCCAATAACATGCGCTGACCATTTGACCAATGTCTCATTGGTCCACTGTATTGGTTATAAACTTTTTATTTTAGACTACTTAAGGAACTTAAACGCCTTATATTATTAATTTATGACTGACGATTTACATATTTTCCCAAGAGCTTGATTTTAATGTAGATAGGTATATCTTACGGACAAGTTTCATATAGTGTGAAACCTAGGTCCAGGGTTTACTATCGTATACCTTCAACTAACTGACATCTCAACGTTGTATATACGATGTCGAGTTACTTAGACTGGTGGCCACATTTCAACCTGGTCAAAATAATTCAATGAACACCAAAAAGACTAGATGAACATAACATTGCTGTCTACTTCTTGTTTTTGTCACCATTCTTCACTTTCCGATTATGTGCTTCAATTTTAATCTAGATTAAAAAAATTATTTATTTAAACACAAACATTGGTACAAAGGGGCACCAAAATATGTATGCGCCATAATGATAATCGAATTTGTGTGTGGGCTGGGGTTATTGCCTGGTCGTCCAAACCGAAGCAGGTTGTTTTTTTTAGGGTGATACTCCCTGAGCATTTGATCTAGAGAACCAATCCACTACATAGTGAACGAACACTTGGAGATGGGGGCCCTATGGTAGCCGGCGACCAACGGTAGTTTCACGTACCCCATTCGATCCCTCAAGATCCTGGAGGTCAGGTACACCATTGGTTGGGAACCACGACTTCCTGACTCTCTTAGGTGCGTGATGCGTATCCACTAACCTGGTTTTAGCGCCGGACACTCACGTTTCGTCCTCTCAATTTCGTAAACGACACCCTCTCTACGAGAAGCAAGTGAGCAGGACTTTCCTGTCAGTGGCTATATATGCGTGGACATATGAGAGGATTTCAAAAGAGAAAGCCGACTGTCCTCACCTTCGACCGTATCAGGGCTATACACTCAAATTAATTGTAGACGGATTTTGCTGATAACAATCATGTTGGTTATATTGTTCACATACTGAGTGGTGAGTAAAGTTAGTTTAGATGGTGACGTTTTATAGCAGAATACAAGTAAAGCTAAACTAAATAAACCATTTATTTGACTGGAGTCTCTGTACTTGAAACAAATGAGTGGAATCTCAATCACTATTTTGACCATTAACACGCTTTATACTGTGTTGCTTTTTTGTTAAGTCTTTCATTGTGCGACCACAAATATATCCTTATTACATAGTATTCTTTGTACATTGCCTCATTCGACTAGTCCTCAAAATATTCGAAATAAACTAAGTTGAATGGAAGTGAGTCATAAAAGGAAACGCGTTCGAATATTTATGATTTTACGCAAGAAGGTTCAAAAGTCCATTAACACTGATCGACTAAGAATGAGTCAATTAATGTGTTTCAACACAATCCTGTAAGGGACTTACTTTAATCCAATCTATGTCCTATTAACACTTATCGTTAACCTAAATAATCTACATATTGACGCCTCAATTTTTCAATGTTACGTATTCTTACCTTTGTATTCGTATATATGTAATGTTTATACTTATGTAATTGGTTGGTGGTTTCAGGTGTGTGATCGATTTTTATTCAGACTAGCAACTGGACAATAAATAATCCGCTTTAATTTTATAGTACAATTTCCTTTTAATGGGTATAATTAGTCAACACTCCCACTTATTCATTATTTCGGCGCCTCCATTTCTCCGAAATTGTTGAAATATAACATTTAAGCATTAACTCATCACCGCCATCGTTAAACGGTTATTATTATTATTATTATTATTATTATTATTATTATTATTATTATTATTCAGCTAAGATTAGTTGAGAAATAGGATTTTTCATTACCATTCTTGTAAATTATATTTATTAGATTATTTGTAGAACAAGAAAGAATGAAATAACGAGAATATTTCAGTAAAAATATCATTACTTAATAATTTCACCTTTTGGGAAACTGTGAGATCACAGATATATATATATATATATATATATATATATATATATATATATATATATATATCAGTGTGGAGGTTTCGTGAAGATTGTTGAGTACCATTACGTTAACGAACTAAATTAAATTAGACAACCGTTAAAAAAAGAAAGCCATGAACATCTGTTTCTAACTAGTATGGCATATGTTATGATGGGCGATGCCTGAGATCTGATATTAACACACAACGCGCAATGCGTTCACCCCTACCCTCAAACTGACTCAGTCAATTATCTACAACGTAGGATCAGGCACATATATGCAACGGTTCAAGTTGCAATGCCTCATTAGCACAAGATGGTCACCAAACTCATAGAAGCAGTTACTTCAATGGTAGTAATATATAAAAGATTGTGTATAAGAATATAATAAGGAAGAAAGAATTAGTTCGTAGAAAAAAAGGTACCTCGGAGAGATGTAGTTTTCATGGTCGACTAGCTCCCTCTCCACTTGTTCCTGAAATATATTCTTAACTTTTTCACCATTGAGTTGGACTATGAGGGGTTTTATTGCTATGGCTCTCCTACGGTCAGTGAGACTCAGACAAATACGCACTCGAAATAGAGCATGGTTTGAGTCTAAACATATTCTCCAGAATGAGCGACAGTCTTCAACCGAGTCCTCTGACGATGAATAGTAGCAATGTTATCAGGTTGAGTCGATTGTGGAGGTCGCCATGTCAGACGATGTTTCTCCTTATGCTTAGTGTTGGTGTTTGACAGAAATAGACGGTTATCTAAGCACAGTTGCAACAGACGGTCGCAATTATCTGTCCGGTCTATGTTCCTCCACGAGGAGTAACAGGCGTAAGTAATTAAGTACGTGGGCCGCAACACCGTAAGATCCACATGAGTGTCTTTCGGTTTGGTTTAATTTACCTATTTGAGCATTAAAATCAACTGCTACTATTACTACATCAGAGAGTTTAGATTTTTGAAGGAGGTTGGATAGCTTCCTATAAAATTCATCTGTAATTTCGTCCGGGCTGTAACCAGCGGGAGCGTAAACAGAGACAACAGAAAGGCAAATAGGCATGTCCTTATTTTTTCGAGTTCTTGCTGCCCCGTTTAGTCAGACAGCACACAAGCGACTGTTAACAGGGATCTATTCTAAAAGTGTTTGTTCTGCCGTCATGCTCAATGCTATGCTTGCACTCGTCAGTTCACGAGAATTTGTTGTCGGATTGCCAGATAAACAGAGTGGTATCTTATCGGCTCCCCTTTTTGGCTAGGTAAGGTCAAGTGAATGGCCACACCAGGATCCTATATGCGCGTCATACATCAGTGGTTCGAGATTCTAGGGTCTAAGCCGAGGAGGTCTGCTGGCCGACTTGACTTAGGGTACGTACGTTGAAGATAGATCAGTGGTTTGTGGCATAGACCCTTTGTGCTATACTAAAGCTCCTGAGGTCAATCTCTCAAGGGGTCGTGGATGTACTTTGCTAAAGAATCCCCTATTCAACTGACAGACGCTCCCTAGTTTTCACTGGTTAGGTCGATTTGTGATTTCCGTATTATACAATTTATATTACGATGTTAATCTATTTAGCATTTTTTTATAATAATAGTAATAATAATAACAATAGAATATAATTAAATAAAGTATTATATGTATTTTATTGCTTCCCTTTTTTTATTGTTTTTGTATAGGTCGCAGATCATATCAATGAACGTAAACGTTATCGTGAATTATTAGATCAACTTCGGATTACTCGATTAGATGTAGATAATTGGGGTGATCTTGTATTACATGATCATTTTCGTATACCGGGTAAAAAAGACCTACGTCTTGTTCTCCTGTTTCAGTGTGCACTTATCCTATGTAAATATACACCGCCTACATCTTCATCCGGTATCAGTTTGTCAACTTCCCAGTCCATAACTATCAATGATTATTGGAGCAATACAACTAAAACAATGAAATCACGCGGTGGATCAGATAGAGTATCAGGAAATTCTAGTCACATGGTTTCAAATGTTAGATCGATCGAAATACGTGAAGTGATTAGTGTGAGTTAATGAAATAGAAATTGGCTTATTGTCCCAATTTTTTATTCTAAAAATTCTCGGATCTAGTTCAACCAAGCTTTCAAAAGATGTAAATTATAACAAATGTCTATATCTTGCAGGGTTTGTTTTTCGAAGGTTGAGATGGAAAATGAATACCATTTGAAACTTATGCAAAACTCTGTCGTTGTTTTTCATGAGAATACTGTATTAGATACTAAAAAGGCGTACCAAATGTTGATCGCGTCAGTTAACTGATGGTAGGATTGTATCGAAGAGATATGGATCTTTCGACACACAATATACTTTGAAATAGTTAAATTACTACGTATATCGTTTATAATTACTTCATTTTGTTTAGTAAGACCGATTTCTCCATCAAACATACCTAGAAAAATTCTGGGTGATCCCATCGACCTGGTAGTTTGACTACGGAGCAAGTTCTTTCTAACTTCTTTTTTCCTGCTTTTGAGATATCAGTTGAATACTTTTCACCCTTTTATTTCCTACATCAGCAATTTTTTTAAGATATTAGAGTATGGTGTATTTAAAATCTACTCTTTCTAACTCATCCTTTGTTGAAGGATAGAAACTCAGGAAATACCTTCATCATATCTCAGTTCAGTTGGGAGTTCTTTGGACCTCAACCTCAATTGTACCTCGATTATACTACTGTGCAACTTATATTGTAGGCGTAATAGTATTTCAGAAAACAAGTGTCTCAATCAACACCGCTTAAAAGACCAGTTGGACCATAGTGTCAAATTAGTGTTTGTAGTCGAATTAATGATTTAATTTTATATAGTTCCATTTGAATTGCAATGTTATCTGACACTAATGGATAAGAAATGCCCTACTCAATCGTTTTCACCTTAAGCTCTGAATATGATTGACTTAATATTTTGTTAAAATAAATCACACTGCTAATCCACTGATACTTATTACCGACTAGCTTGAATCAAAAACGACTTTCAAGTATAACTAAGCGATATTGTAGGATACTGTCAGTTAAACAACTTTCAAATAAATATTTTTTGGCATTTAATAACTTGTATTTTAATTCACTTGAAGTAAGTAGTGAATCTTCACCAACTGAAGTGGTCGGTACTTGTATTATGTATGCTTAGCCAACCGCCCTAACCTCAATGCGTTGTGTTGGCTGGTGTAAGGGAGGTAGGTTGAAAATCAGAGGAAGTTAAACTTAGATGTAATCAGTCCATGACATCGTTGATCTCTGGGCAGTGTCGTGTTTATAGGTTAAAACTGTCTGCCTTGAATTCCAAGCGTTTGGCCATGTTGAGTGAAACGGGTTGAAATCTCTTTCAGTGGTGTCGTTACATTATTTCTTATCGTTTTTGTTAAACCGTGAATTCATCCCTTCTTCATGATTCATATTCACTAGTTCTAATGTTATGTCCTTCTGTCCTTTGGTTGAATATAGTTTATTTGTATCTTATTAATGATGTTTCACAATTTTTTTTCAATATTATAATGATAAATGGAGTAAACCTCTGACCAATATTTTGGAGGTTAGCACCTCACTCGATCTTCTCCGAACTGAGTAGCCGGGTAGGTATTTCTACACTAAACACAAAATGTGGTTCAAAGCCCAATAAATTAACCTGTACTTGGTAAATGAGTTATCAGTCGTTCATGTTGCTTCACCATATATTTCCACAACTGATAATTATAGCTGACGTATCTTGAGGATTAGAAGTTATTAGATATTTACCGGAGCAACTCACCCGAGGTTGAATAAAGGCAAAAGATTGTCGTAACATTTATATATGAAAATTTATTAATTCTAAGCGGTTCTACAACAAGTAATAATTAGTTCGTGATAAACTCACATTTTAGGCAATGAACAACATTAATCAAATCTCAACACAAAAATGACCACTTCGACATGGCCACATATGGACTTCATCAATCAATAGGAAAAGTTAGTCAAACCAGTAACTAATGAGATACGAGAATTATTTCCAGTTACTCATAAGTAATATAATCGTAATATACAAATTTCATGCTGGGTTTATGTGAGACATCACTTGAGTTGATACCAATGGTCACCGTGTGTACACTTTTTAAACTTCTGTGATCATCAAAAGTTTTTGGATTCCAATTTCACTGTTCATCCGAATTTTTCTTGATACCCATATCCGTTTTGTCTTTCTACATCTGTTATTTCTCAGGTGCATGTATGGATATGTATACTTGTTAGGATATCGTACCTTTACACACTTTCGTGATTCATTCTAGCTTTAGGACAACTGTTAGTGACCGAAATAGGACTTGACCATTGGATTATTTTTACCGTCCTAATAGCTTTATTCCTTTCATAGAAGATTGCTTTCTTACCCAATACCTGTCTCGTCACACTACACTTTATCTATTGCAAGCCATATTAACGCTTGCAACTAATCATATTTTGAGTTGGTACATCTGCCTTTTCCAATTCTCATCTTACTGTCTGTCTATGTATTTTACTACCTGAAACAAATTAACCCAAATCAATTCTATTACATCATCATGTTTATTCCTTGTTCATAGGTTCACACGGATCTAATACTTCAACAAAAAATTTCTTATAAATATACGATTGTACAGCTTGATAATAAATTCGTTGAAAAGAGTTCTCTTCTCTAAAATTCGTGTTTTCAATTCGTATTTGTCCTTTATTATCACTTTCGCCTAAACCCAATTATTCTAAGTAAAATATACGAGATCAAGCAGAGAATTCATGTTCATTATTGGTTCCTTCGTCAGATGAAAGTTATTAAAATACTCAGTTAGTCAATTAATCAACCCCAATAATCAGTTGATTATCTTTAACCTAATTAATTAATTAAATTAATTCATAATCACCATTGCTATTTACAATAATTTTTCTCCTTGATTTTTCTTAGTGTGCTAATTTAATGCTAGTTGAATGTATCGACAAAGATCCATTAGCATTTCATATATTACCATTTGATAATCCTAAAGCACAACGTACTCTACAAGCAACCAATTTAGAAATTAAACGTCTATGGTGTCATGAAATAAAACGTTTAATATTAGAAAATTATGATGCAGCTATTCCGGAAAGAGCAAAACAAATTGTACTTAACATGGATGATTTAACTTATGGTCCACCTATTAAAGATATATCTGATCTACCTATGAGTTTATGTAATTTACAACAAGTTGGAAAAAATGATTTTGAAGAAGACTGTTTAAACCAAAATTGTTCAAACGATCGAGTACATCGTAAGAGTGATACAGCTCTTCCAGGTGAGTGGTTTTCTTTGTTGTTTTTGAAAAAATGAATTCTAATAAATGTACTATGATTCATTTGTATTGGTTGTTTAAATCTTCCCATTGTTGTTCAAGATTGCAATTGATCAATCTCTTATTAGCATAAGTGCGTCCTTTGCGGATTACCTCGTTATTGTCTATCAAGTCACAAGCATTGTAAGCAGAGATAGATGGGTAACTAACAGTGGAATCCAGGACGCATGTTTCGTCCTTTTCTGGACTCCTCTGCTGGATATACCTGCATCCAAGAGTTGAGGAATACGTAACTGATTTGTGCTTAAAAACTGAGAATCTGACTCTGGTGACGCATAGTAAAAACCAAAGACTAGTGATACTGTTATACTCGGACGAGAATAAATGAATGGTAACTGTTAGAAATTACTTATGGACTAATATTATACTAATATTTTTATTGTATGACTGTTAAGTGACTATGATACATGTATATTCATATTCCTTTTATTATAAACTTCTATTTAGCCTGTTGACTATTACCATACGATTTACTGTTCTTGAGATATTCCCAATTTATTAGTAACAGTGTCTCACAATCACAGCCACTTTTGGCTTGATCTTGTACAAATGTTATCTGCTATTTTATGGTGTGATGCGGTTCAGTTTGTTTGTGTATGAACCCAATATGTCTGAAATATATGATTCGTATCGCGGAGGCTGATATTAGCGCTCTGGTTTGCACCGGCTAGGTTAAGAGAGAAGCTATTATCTTGGTGGACCAATAAGAACTCTAAGCTTCTCGTATAGGTTTATACATCATTAGTCTGGTTGTATAAGTCGTTGTCTCTAATTGGCGGTCGTATCGCGTGATATACTTAATCGACCACAAGAACATGACAGATATGGATTTAATCGATGCTCGAAATAAACGATGTATGAATACGTTATCTTTTTAATTAATTTTTGTATAGCCAGATCAATAAATTGGCATAATTTGACTGAGTTATATTTAACGTACTTATTTACAATATCATATTGCTCTATTGATATTGTCATATCAACAGTTAATGTCGTTAACTTCTTTAATCATTTGACTTATGAAAAAAAATATATATATATAAATTATTTTCCATCATTATCATCAGGTCTTCGAAGCTTTTTAAATCGGCAAACAAACAAACATTCAATTTATTCAAATTCAATTCACACACCTAATCTATCTTTGAATAATAATATCAATGAATGTAGAATACCTTTATTAGAAAATGGTTGTATGTTGAATGGCAAGAAAAACGTCATCGGTGATAAAGTCTTACCCTGTGATGATGATATTAATAATTCAACTGATAGACATCTTGATTCATTATTACACGAAGCCTGGGAGGAAATATGGGCTAAACATCAGCATTCACCAGTTAAAACAACTTTTGCAAATGGTCAGTCAGATTCTTTGGAAAACGGTAATTTTCATCATTATCATCAGGATAATTATAAATTGGATACAGAGAATGTTTATTCATCTGATTCAGTAGTAACAACAAAAGCGAATAATGATGCAGACTTCCGGTGTATTGCTGTCGAAATTAATGAAGAGAAATTTGGTCTTTTATCACCTGTCACTGTACCGACGTGTACTGTTAATGAAAATAAAAAATATTCAGTATCTTCCCTATCTAAATTAAATACAGATTCTTTAAATTGTGTAAATAATTCAGGTAAATATGACTATATTTATTAAAAAAAATTTAATCATTAATCACTCACTATTTATTGGTATTTATTTGAATGTTTCCGCTATTAGTATCAAGGTCTGAAATTTGATTAGCCTCTGTTAGCTTATTTGTATACTGAGCGGATTCACTTAGTATTGCGCCAAGTTACAAATACCTAAGGAAAGATGGATAGTGGTTATCAGTAGATTTCAGGATGCATCTTTCGTTTTGTATGGAACTCGTCGGCTAGATGTACCTACCACATCAATGTTGATATTCACATCGGGACACGAACGGATTATCTTTCGCTTTAAACACCCAACATACTTTCCACATTAACCTTGACATGATTCAGGCACAAATAAGTGATTAGATTTGTCCCCTTCGTACAAATTATTGGCTATCTAGATTCAGTAGCTCTGTGGATGATGTACTGGGCACTAGGTTCAAGTTCTTGTGTGAACATCAACACGGATGCAAGTATATCAAAGACACCAGTCACTTATTGTTTACTTAAATTGATCAGTTAAGTTTAGAAAGTTCACAAAGTCACATTAGTTATGTCAATTATTGACATTGATTAATTAATGTGTAGTGACTACTGATATTATGTTTGTTTAGTCTTTAGTGCCAAGCGAACTCCGTTGATCAAGGTAATGGGGTTAATTATCAAAATAAACTTAGTGAGTAGGAGTAAAGTAATATTGTTTACCTTGTAAATTTCATTTTAAGACTTCGTTAACTAAGATTTTGGGATTCAGATTCTAAAGAAAGACAGAGTGGGTGCACGTGCTTCAGTGTGAACAATTTTGAACTTTGTTACCCGGAATATCTGATGATTGGTTAAGATAATCACGCGGATCCCAAACGGATAATCTACACCTATTAACATGGTTCAGTCAAATTGTCAATAATTTCATGTAATGATACCAAGTCTATGTTTGGTCACCCTTATCTTTCTTCCACCAGACATTTACCTCTTAAAAGCTTGAGTGTTAGCTTTTTCAAATACTACATTTTGTTTCTATAAAGTGATCTAGCTAAATTAGTTTACTCCAAACAAAATAAAGTGGGAATTTTTCTAAACTAACCTTTTCGTATAGAATTATTATGAACGTTACCTTTCCTTTAAAAAATTCAACTGTCTCCTGTGATTCGTTTGCTCTTAAACCTATTACAGATGACTCAAAATACCTCAGTTTAGTCACAGTTAATTCATAGTCCAGTAACTTTAGACTTATCCTTCGTTCTTCAGTTTTACTAACCTAAAATGTATTGAAATACCTATTAAAATATTTGACAATAATGTTGTATGACACATCGATAAAAATGAACATTGTTCTTACTTTTTCCCTTTCCCAATAAATCAGATAACTACAAATTTTCTATTCCTACTTCATCATCTCCCTCATCACAACATTTATTACATTATTCTTCACCTAATTTTTCAATCTGTCAGCGATCATCACCAACATTATTATCTAATAAATCTGTACATAGTCATAATCGTACAACTTCCGTTTATATTGACTGTCCAAATACATCATATTATGATGTAATCACATTTGGTCGAACTTATGAACAGTATATTGCTAAAGCTCGAGCAATGGTAGCTTTATCTCCAAAAGATTTAGATGAAATATTCAGTCCATTACGAGAATTACCATTTACTAATCGTGAACATCAATTATCACACTCTTCACTTCATTATCACAATCAAGATGATATATTATCTTCTAATATTATCAATGTAACAACGACTCATTGTTCAACTGTCCCATTAATACTAAACACAAATATTAATTCAATGAAACAGTTATCTGATACTAATTCGACAACGATGATCAAGAATCGAAATTGTTTAACTTCTGATTTAAAATTATCTTTAACTAATCTTACATCTTCTATAGAAGAAAATAATGGTAATGATAAGAGTAATGATTATTGTTCTTCGTCTGGTGCTAGTTCTCCACGACATTTAGTTAGTTGTATCGCTGTAACACATAATCGAAACGGACTCAATAGTAATTTAGTAACAAAAGTGAGTGTTTTTTTCTCCATTTCCCTATTTGATAAGTATAATGGTAGTTTTTTGTTTTGTGTTGCCAGGTTTTTTTCCTAATTTTCTGTTCATCTGAAAGTTGGTTTGTTCTGTGCCAAGTAGGTTGTTGCTGATGGTGTCTGGCCAACAGATCAAGAGCATCTTTTGTAGACAACTGTCCATATAACCTGTACCTTTTCTGATGATGGTTGTGGTAGTTCCCAAGGTTCAGCTCTGTACAATAGAACTGTCTTGACGTTTGTGTTGAAAATTCTGATTTATTTATCACCAAGTGATATCTAACTCTGTATCTATAAACAAATATTTTGGTTTTTATTACCTTTTTTAAAACTGTATTCTAAATAAATTCTTTATTGAACAATGTTGAATGAAAATCAATTTGTAAGTAACTAGTTAAATAAAACTGGAAATAACATTAATAAAATAGAAAATTCTTTAATTCTCAAAACACAGTAAGATAGATGGCGTCTCCCAGCTGAAGATGCTGAGTGACTCTATATTCGATCATTGTTGTCTTCAAAAAGGATTTCTAACTTTGGCTGTGAACAATATGTTAGTAATGCTGATATCCGGGACTGTATATAGCGTTAATTTAATTAGTATTACCACCTTGGATACTTGCTACGAATGTCATCTCAGGGTTTTCCACGTCGTGCATTATTTGCCGACGTTGGGATTGGATTCGAAATTCACCAGGTGGTGATGCGTTCATGCATTGTGTTAATATTTCGCAACTCTTAATTCAATACAATAAGTGAAACAACTTTTATGGTCTTCTTTCTGCCTTGCTAACTAGAATAAATAGGCCAGTTTGATAATGCAAGCTTTGTTGATGGTCACTTCAGTATATCAATCGAGAATATATCTAAGTTAATCGTTTTCATATTATTTATAGTGATTAGATTTTATGAACTGAATCTTTGTTGCTAAACGAGAATCATATTAAAAATTTATCGAAAGTTTATGAGTAGAGTTCGCACTGAGTAGCTTAAAATATGGAAGATTCATGTTAATCGATATTGATTTGCTTTCTCATAAGTTGTATTTCGGGATTCTACATCCTTAACAGGTAGTTAGTTTATTACATTAAGCCATAGTATAAAAGAAAACTGTCTAGAACTGACATTTTTCGTTTCATCTTGGTTTATTCGGTTGGGATCCTAGTGATCTCTTGAACTCGGTAACTCGACACATTATCAGATAGGTGTCAGAATCAAACTCAGTGGCGATTCTCCCATGATTTTCTTTTACATTTTTCGTAAAGGTGTGGGGAATTTCTCTAACGGGAAGAATTCTTCTTGGTTGTATTTTTCAAAAAACTGGACTGCTTCTCCTATTTAGATTGTTCTCATTCACATACTTTTATTCGTTTTTTTTCTCTTTTGTTTATACTCCCTCACTTTATCTGTCTCGTCACAATTTCATCATTTTATTTGTATGGAGCATATTTGTTTTGATTCTCATTTCTATTGTAGTGAATGGAGACTTGGTTAGGGTAAACCATTTGTGGAAACAATACATCTAATACACCATTTGCACAAGACCCGTGGATTGTTATTTACAAGCTCCGTCGTCCTTTCGTTACTTTTGCTACTCGGACTGCTTCTGTTTTTGTTTCTCTTCTCATGTCCATCTTCTGTCAGTAAGAATCGTACTTCCGATTCTTTATACATGCTACTGTCCGTAGTACACACCACAGTGTCAGTATATATATGTATTAAATAAGATATAATTTCATTTTTTCCTTGATTGTTTAGAATATAACTGTGGTACCGAGTAACACCACTGCTACGCCAGCCGTAACAATGGACAGTCGTGTATCAGCTGCAAGATCGAATTCACTATCATCAGGATTCCGAACAAGTGAATCGAAAAATAATGTTGATCTAGTCGATAATTTAGATCGTGGACGAAGGTATGTCAGTCAATCGACATTTCTATGTAGTTTGACTAGTTTTAAATTTCAGTTAAATTTTTTTTTACTATGCAAAATATGATGTTGAAATACAAAAATTGTAGATGCTTAGTAGTTTCGTATATCGATTGGTGATTCTGTTTCATTTCCGTTCATCGACAATTCCTTATCGAAATCTACACTATACTTTTGTCTTTTTTGTTTCGACCAGTTACTTTTAAACATTTAGTTCACTAATTGGTTACACTTTCTTAACGATCTTTCATCCAATTGTCTTATCTGTTCAAATATTAAACAACTGCATCAAGGCTAGGTAGGCGAAGTTATAGTTCAAAATTGTGACCTAACTTTGTGTAGTATGACTAATAAACTTATTCATTTATTTACCCTTAATACAGTAGATTTGGCTCATTGCTTGTTTTGCGTGTTTTTATCCTGATAAGTTTGTTAACTGAACACTCGATCTAATTTTCTAATCTCTTCTAACAAACCCAGTCTAAATCACCTATACTGCAACCTGAACACAAGAAGAAGGGCGCGAATTGCAGAACAGACGCTTTACTCCATACACAACAAATCGTGTGTATTTGTGCCAAATAACGTAAACTTGGTCATATCGACAGTTCCAGAGGCATACTAAATATAGCAGTAATAGGATAATTATCCAATCAAAAATATGTCAAATAATCTCTCATCCTTCCACATGTTTCGAAGAGGATTCCATCCAATCCTAATTGAATAGTGTTCCCCAGAGTTTTTGAGGCTTTTTATTACTTTTCTGAGGATTTTTTTAGAACTTCACAACAATTCAGTTGCTGAGTAGTATTATATTAAAGTCTAAATATACCAACAAATGTCAAATCGTAATTAAATCTCTACGTTTAGAGCAACAGTATTATCATGTGGAAAATCAGGAAATACAGAATAAATTGGGTGGTGAAGACTGTCCAACTACCATCAGTGTTATATTTATTTGTTCGTTTACAGTTCACCTTTAGTCCATCTTCATAGTCTAATGTTTGTGTACATACATGTATGCACCTTTTATAATAAAGTTGATTTTGTTTTGTCGAATTGCTGAACATATCAAACAATAATGATAATTGTGTCTTAATTTCGAGAGGATCATATGATTAGAAATGTATTCAGTTTGTTTTTCCCGCATCTTGTTCACAAGTAGTCAACAAAACTCGATTATATGTCATTTGGGATTCAAATTAACTCAACCATGTTTAAAGTTTCTATTAGTATAGAGTTTGTAGAGATTACTGAATTTTTTACAGATTACATTATGGGTTGATCTTAGTTAACTAAATATGTGTTAATTTGTTAGAGTATAATGTTATATCTCGTGACCGCCGATTAGAGAACAGTGACTTACCGATCGGACCAAGGACGTGTAAAGCACATGCGAGCAGCCTAGAGTCTGATTGACCCTGCTTTCCGCCTAGCCCTGCCTGCCTGTTAAGTCTAGAACACCAGTCCGAGCCTCTGCGATATGAATCATGTATTTCAAACATACTCTGTTTATATACCAATCAAGCAGACCACATCGTACCATCAAAATAGAAAATAACATTTGTACAAGATTTGGTCAAATGTGGCTGTGAATGTGGGAGGTAGTGATTAATAAACAGGGAATAATTCAAGAATGATAAATCGTATAATAACAGTTCATAGGTGAAAATAAAGCTCATAATGAGAGGAATATGAATATGAATAGTTTACTTAATTAACAATTAACGGCAAAGTATATGCACAGTATTGGTCCATAAATAGATCCCAAAAAATTACCACTCATTGTTCTTATCGGGACACAACATATAACAAAATTGGTAATGAACACATCATCATCATTTCGAAAGAGGATAAAATGTATGAGACATTTTACAGACTGTTTAATTTTTTTTTGTTCCACTGGATATATACTACTTTTATGAATGTAGCAGAAATAATATAGCGAGAGACTTTTCTAACTTAATGTCTACTTTATTTCATTTATATGATTTTTGTTATTAATTTTAGACGTTCGAATCTTGATTCAATTGATAGAACTATAAATCGTCAAAATTCTCATATTCATATCAATACTAGATCTCCTTTAGGTTCACCGAAACGATCTCAATCACATGTATTTGTATCAAATGGTCGGTTAAATAAATCCGGTGTTTCTAAACCACCTAGATTTGTAAGCTACAAGAGTCCACTGGAATCTGTTGGGAAATCACTTAAAGGTAAGTATTTTTACTTATAATCAATAATATCATTGAATGGTTCCATCACACGTAATCGTTTCCACGTCAACTTTTACTGAAAATGTTTTGTCAAAGTTGTTAGTGAATTTTCAAATACAATGTTAAAGAAGTTTATATTTTAAATTATTTTAGATGTCTGTTGACACCCATCTACACCAAAGTATCCACATGTTGTTTTGTAAATCCCTATCTTCATCCCTAGTTACGGACAAATTTGTCCCATAACTCTTGTCAAAGTATTGTCAGCATCTACAGGTGTTTATGTTATCGAATGAATTCAATTTACAAGAAAGATTTCTTTATCAAAATTCTGTTGTTTTTCAAGTTGGTTGGAATGTCATTTTATGTGTATTCCCTTCACTTTTCTGTTGGAATTAAAGGAGGATATGGTGTTCAGTTTGCTGTGTATGCATACTCAAAAGAAATTTCCTTTTGTCAGAGATAGTATTTAAGGGATGGAGTGAAAATAAAGACTAAACAGCGAGACTGTAATTTATGGATGAACTAATCAGATTTAGGATAAGAGGTTTCGGATTTTTGCGCGAAATTCATTTATCCATTTATTTGGCTAAATAGTGTTTTGGTATTTTAGCTGATGTCAGTTCGTGATGAGAACTCTAGATCTAATTTCTAATCCTAACCATCAATTGTAATTCACAATTTTAATACCATACATTGCTTTATAACCCTCCATTAGTCCTAGTTAGTAGGTGGACTTTCTCTAGGTCACTTCGGCGTCCTTCGAAGGTTGTCCATAAATTATAATTTCACTGGTGTACAAAATTTAAAAAAATATCATTCAGATGCACATATATTGCATAGAATTTAGTTCGTGTATTATTTTGTTTTTGAAACAAATGATTCAAACAGTCCTAATTCATTCAAATTATTTCTCATTGTGAAATATGTTACGGTTCTTTTTTGAAAGAAAAATAACGTAAATTTAAGTGAATTGAATAATGACTAGCAGTTGTATTCAGGACATAGGCTTCTGTTTCTATCTGACTCGTCCGTTCAGTGTGTCCGCCACATATCAGTGTTGTTGTTCACACCGGAGTTCCGATTCATTATGTTTTTGTTTCAAACACTCAATGTGTTATCCCCTGAGTCTAGATAGCTACTGGCTTATGTAACGGGGATGCATTTTGTTATTGATTTGTGTTTAAACTCTGGAATGGAAGTACATCCATCTGACTCGTTTAGATAGTACACATTAGATTTAATTGTTAACCGCTATTCATGTTACTTATATATTTATAACTTAATAACAGTATCATGGTATCACATACAGGATGTACCCAAACCAAAATAGATTGACCAAGTATCAGTCACGAATTCAAACAATTGGAGGATTCAGACACAAATAAATGAAATCACATTAATCTGAAATATTGTCTTTTTCTTTTATTATTATTGTTATATATACTGTTTTCAATATTCTCCTGTGAAAAATTAATCTTTAGCTAACCATAATCAATCAATGGACCATGATAAGCAGTCGACACGAAACATGACAAACAATATTTCATCTTCCTCTCTGTTATGTAATAATTCATCAAAAGAAGTTAATAGTGATGATGTATTGAATAAACGAGGACGTCGAAAGTCGCGTGCACCTGCTCCACCAATTAAATTATTGGAGAATACTGCTGAAACTACAACGATGATTATGACTTCCACTACTGCTGTTACTACTACTACTGCTACTAATACTAATACTACTACCACTACGCTCAAAGCTCCATTAGCAGTTTCCGAATGTGGTATGTTCTATCGTTATCAACTTAATCATATTAATTTATGGAGTTTTTTGGTTGGTTAATAAAAAGATTATACCGATTTCAGAAGAGAAACCGGTATAAACATTCTATACTAGTGACATTGAACAATTTATCAGCTATTCAGAGCAAATCATAATTAGTTATAGAATGAATTATAATAAAAAGTAATTAGTTTCAACAGGTGAATAGTTTGGACACATGGTTAATGAATGTTTACATATTTATGTGTGTAGTAAGAGAAAAGAAGTTTAGGTTTAAAAGTATTATGAGTAATAGTTGGGTTTAGGAGTTAAGATTAGAGTTTTCATCATGAACGGACATAAGCTATAATGTAAGAATGGTTTGAGGACATATGGATAACTGACGTTTGTGAAAAATATAAGGATCATTTACTTGATTAATTCGTCCGTAAATAGTCGTTCTACGCATAAAAAAACTCTTGGCTATGCCCTGAATTATATAGAGTACACTCAACGACCAATTACCCTTTCGGATAAAAAGTCTGTACCAGGAACTGGTGTTTCTTGTAATTTGGCTTACACTGAACATCAGATTCATTATGTAGGGCAGCATAACAGTTACGTTTATTGACTTTAAGCATCTTAGAAACTAGATGTAGCTAATTTTTACTCATTTTTTTCCCTAAGAAATAAGATCCAAGGTATTCACACCTGGCTTCCGAATTTTGCAAACAGACCAAAACGTACTATTCTAAAATCCTATAGGTTCATCAACATTGTATATTTTTACTAGAAAACTTACAGGAAGAAAGCCAACTGAACAAAATAGGAGTAATGAAGAGAGTTGGAGATGGATGAATTAGTGTAACGATAATAATAATAGCTGATTTTCCCATCAACTCCACCATCAGAAATAAATTTAGTATCAGGATGACTGGTTGTCGGTTAAGATAAAGTTATGTTTTGAATAAATACATGAGAAAAGGTTTGTAGGAAACCTATGTTGTGTTGATGAGTTAGTGTAAAATTTTGGGGTTTCTTTACCATTAAATTAATAAATTCAGTAACAACAAGGTGTATGACATCAGTATTATTAGCGGTTAGCGCAATTGAACTCTGTGTCACATAGATAAAAAACGTCTTTCTTGGATAACAAAAATAGTTTAATAAATAGCATACAAAACAATAGGAATGACAAAGAAATGTAGTTATCATAGGAGAAGAGATTACAATGTTATCAACATAAACGAATGTTAAGAAAAATTACAAATTGTTATAGTGAGACACCCTGAGTTGTTTACTCTCGAATGAATGACAATTTCACAAACTACTGAATATAAGTTAATAGTATGATTAATATAGGAAAACGGACAAAAAGAAAACGGAAAGATCGAATTAACGTGCGTAATCAGTTTAGACGACATGCGAAATATCGTTTGTATTATTCAATGTGATGTAAAAGGAACAGAATATTGAATTCTAAATGACTCGCAATACTCTCTTTAATTTGCATTCTTTTACAAAGTTCGGAAACAGATAAAATAGATTATGTGATAAATATAGAAGTTGTGAAGACTTGACGTAAGATTCCCAATCACTTGTACTAAGTGAATGAGCAAAGCAATGAATGAAGGGATGATTTTAGTGTACATAAAAATAAGACGCTAACATTCAGAGGTGACACAAATAGTCTCATGTTGAAACAGAGACTTAAATTAGCTATCAACCGGACATTTTATGCAGCCCAACTTGTCATCATCGAAAAGACAAGGTCTATGTTTCACCAAAAGCCCAAACAGCATGAAAACGATTGTGTCACATCCCATTGTGTCTATAAATTTACATGTATGTGTGCAAACACGTACGTAGGGAGGAGCAATCGTGATTTGCAATTAAGGGTGGGTGAACATATACCAAAATGGTTGCAAAATCAAATGAATTCCAATGGTGAAATAAGATCACAGGATAGACAGACATCATCATCCATTGCGAAAAATTTGATTGAGACGGGTCATAAGGTTGATATCAAACCAGCATTTGTTGTGTTGTACAAAAGCCTTCAAGGACGTATACTAAGGTTTATTGAAGCCTTGGCTACACGAAAATTGAAACCCCCTTTATGTGTTCAAAAAGAATTTGTACTTACGCTTAACCTACCCTGGTAGTACTGATTTACTATCCAGAGTGGTAATCACATTTGTTTTTGTGTACTTTAATATTTTTCCTTTGTTATGACTTACCCTTAACCTGTCTAGTTGACCTTTTAATTTCTCATATATAAATGTTCTTAACAAGTATATGTGTGATCAGATTGTTCGAAATGTATTGCGCAAATATATCACATAATTCTGATAAACTACGTCTTCTCATTGCATTATCGAAATTTATCGAAAGGACTAATTGTTTTAAACTTTCCAAATAATAATGACGATAACAAAAAATAATAATGTACCAAGATAGTTGATTACTATCTATTTCTTGATACATAGATCAGGTTTGAGTTTCTTTATTGACACTGCCTAAGGAAACCGGAATGACACAAAGTTCTCTTGTCTGCTAATAGTTCTGAAGTATTGTGGAATGTTAATAGTATTCCTGGTATCAATAAAATGCAGAGGTGTTGGACTGTTTAGAGCCGTTGCATCCCTCTCAGCCTCAAGTTCTTTGTAACGTACTTGAAAATGCACAACTGCATTTTTCACTTTACGTGTACATGACAAGGCACATACATTTTAGGAACAGAGAGAAGATTACATGTATTCATTCGCAACTAAAAATAGTTTGACATTTTTAACTTGACCAGTTTTTTTTCATATTGATGAATACAAACGTTTTATAATTGTTCTCTTTTAAAGGCAAAGAGTTTGAGGATAATGACGATGATAAATGTTTAGAATCTGTCTATCAAGGTCGTGCACTTGCTGTAAAAACATCTTTGTCAGCAAAATCTATAAAATCAAATATTCCTTGTTTGACAACTTCGAAACATATTGTCTCTACTTCATTTCGCAATACAATTAATACTGTAAATGGAAGTAATACAGAGAAACCAGTCAAGCCACCACGAAAACTTAATAATAATACATCCTCTTCCACTGAAGCTCTGCATAAATCTGAAAAGAGTATATGTAGTCGATATTATTCTCCAACTTTAAAAAGTCTTCATAATCCTTCAATTTCACAACACAAGTTTCCTCATGATATCCCTTCTCAACATCGGGGTATTGTGAAAAATATGATAAGTAAATTTCAGCAGCCTTAAAATCTAGATTTTTATCCCTCTCAATTGATCTGCTTTCTATCTTGTCATTTATATTTTTTAACTGAAAGAATCCATCGCTTCTTGCTAACTAACTGCCTAACTGATTCTATGCTTACCGGTTTCTACAGATTCTTTTTTATATAATTTACAAAATACTTCTATTCATTTAAGGTAACACTACTTATAATGAATAAGTAGTTAAAATTATTTAGTGAAATTAATTTACTGTTTGTTTTTACATATGCATTTTCAACATAAAAACATGATTCTGATTTGCTTTTGTCAATAATTCCCTGCTTATTTTGGTGAATAAAAAAGAGAGAGTTTTGTCTCTTATTCAAATGGATACATATTTATTATCTACTGTTCAATAATATGTACTTTTTCTTTCGTGTTTATAAGTGTTTTGTTATGAATTTATTGTTTCTTTGCAAATAGTTATTTTTAATTTGTGTTCCCCATTATATTTATTCAGTTTCATTTTCCTTTTTGTCCATTTACTACTCAGTTTATGAATCGAATTTTTTGGTTTTTTAGGAGTGGGCTAGGAGTATTGGTTATCGTAATTGTTCTGTTTATTATTTATCTATGTTTCTTTTTTCACTTCTACGTTTTTTTTTCTTTTTTTGAAGTCACAGTTTAGGATTTTCACTATTTTTTTTTTCTGAATGACTTCTGGAAGAGTTCATGATATGTTTCCATATAGGATTTAAAAGAAATTTTGTTTATCCATGTGATATTTTATTTATTTATGTAGTCATAATATGTTTTGAGAATAAAATATTCCTGGACACTGATTGATACGATCATTATCACCACCATCATCATCATGATCATTATGTCACTTACAGATAAATAAAATAGGATTATACCCCTTCATTTACTTTCGTTAATTTACGAAAGATTTCTTATGCTCTAACGCTTTTTTTCAATATTTAATAAAGAGTATTTGTTAGCTTATTATGAAAAGTATTCATATTGTATCTGGGATAATATTTTAACTTACATATGATCTATTAGTTATAGTAATGACTACATGAGTCTGAATGCGGTGAATGATTTCGATTATCATTCATTGTTGCATAAAATTTTATTTTTGCTTTTCATTATGAATCTAGCATAAGGCTTTGGATATTCTATATATTATTGCTAAGTCAATGAAAAACAATGTAACTGTGAACCAAGTAATTAAGTGTTAACATATGTGACTGATACTAGATATAGATTAGAATCACGTGAAAAGCCTCAATCATCTCCTTAATATGAAGATACCTTGAATCGCATAACACCTAGGTTAGAAGTTTCCGGTTAATTCCTTCCATTCACCTAACAAAAGAAGAATTTGTTCATACTTTTATACTTCTCAAGATCTAAGGAAAATATCATCTAAATAAAAATGAATGCAAATGATCTTCAACTCTAGGAAGAAAAGAAGCTCTCAGTTTTCATTTAAAACGAAAACTAATTGATGAAGACTGGTTAATTGTTCTTGTGTGGAGATAAAGATCTTTGTAGAAGAATTCACTGCCCTGGTACGTCCAAGAGTGGGGAGAGCCAGCTCTCCTTCTACAAATGCTCTCATATGGCCACACGTATACAGCCACTCCCAAGGTAGTCATACTCACTGCCTTCTTGCAGCGTTACTGTTGTTAACGAAATTGAGAGGACGTAAAGTGAATGTCCGGAGCTTTAACCAGGTTGGCGGATACTGAGGATCCACCTAGGTGAGTTGGAAAACCCTCATTCCAAACCAGTGGTGAACATTGGCTTCAAGATCCCAAAGGAAAAGATGGCGTATGAACCAATTGTTGGTTACCGGCTATCATGAGAATGCATCTCCTTACGTTGCTCCATTGCGTTGTGGATTAAACCTTTAGGTCAAAGTTTCGGGATATGGTCTCCTAAGAAAACCACCTACTTCGGTTTGGGCACCCGGGCTGTATTCTAGCCCTCATACAAATCGAATGATTAATGTGGCACATATCTATTTGGTGAATTCTTGTACCAATGTTTATGTGTTTAAATACATAAAATAACAATCAACATGGTATAATTGAATATCACAGCACTTTCAAATAAACTGTTGATACTTTAACACGAAATCTATCAATAATCCACAACTGTTCATTAAATTACAATGCGTTTGTAGGTGTAATTACTAAGATTTGACTTAATAATTCCAAATAAATTGAACATTGGATAGGTTGTTATTTAATCAAATTAATATATTTGTAATGTCTTAAAAAGTAGGAAAATTAAGCTTTTAAATTTTTTGACGTTTCGTCACTTAATATTAGCAACTTCAAATAATAAAAAATCTCTAAGGAATTGGCTAACACTGAGTCATGAGACAAATATATAATCTATTCAGTAGTTGAGATCATAAGTCAATTTAAGCTAGACCACCATGGGAAATCTGCGAAAGCACTGGACGATCGCTTCGTCCTATTGTGGGACTCCTCAGCATGGTGGTCTAGTATCAACTCTTTCTGATACTAATTAACAAATGCTCACTAGTGACTGGCTTCAAGATGTATATCCTGGAGTTCTAGTGAGAAGTAGTGATCAGTGGGGTTAAACCGGGTCAGTTGTGAGATAGTAACTCACTGATGATAATGGTAGACGTGTCTCTGGATTTCGTGGATTATTTGAAATTAGATATTAACGCTGTTGGATACCGGCTCGGTGGTCCGGTGGTTAAATGCTCGCGTGCGAGACTAGTAGGTCATGGGTTCGAATCTCGAGGGGTGAGGTCGTGGGTACGCACTACTGAGGAGTGCCACGATAGGACGAGACAGCCATCCAGTGCTTCTGGGTTTTCCATATTTGTCTAGCTTCAATTAACTCATGATCTCAACTACTGAATTTACTAAAATCTCCACAAAACCCTTTCTGATGTAATCTTTTTTAATTATACAGGATACAACTGAATTAACATTAATAAACGATTGTTTTATTATATTTGTAATTCTATATAACTAATCCCTACTCAATTTTATCGATCAATACAATAATCATCTTATTTTGAAAATGAAGTGGATCTGTTTTGTTTCTTTTCTTCATGATTTCTCTTTTTTTCTGTCAATATAAATGAAATTATTATGTAATATGGTAAAATTTCGTTTTTTTTTTTTTTTTGTTACTTTTGTAACATTTTCTCATACAAAACACTTCATTTGAACAAGTAATGAACAGGAAATGAATAAAAATTAGTTTAACCAATAATGTTTTAAAACAACAACAAAAAAAAGAACGATTTTCGATGATACTTGTCAAAAGAATGAAGATCTATTGAAGATTGTGGTAATTCCAATAGTTGAATTCATGAGTTGTGTTTGTTTGTTTTTTGGATGAAGTTTTGTTCTGAGTTGGATGGTTTGGTCGTGGAGCTTTCATCGTTCTTCTGAATGATATTATCAGCATAAACTTCAGATAAATGATGTCATTCAAAAGAACAATGAAAGCTCCACGACCAAATCATCCAGCTCAAAGAACAAAACTCCATAAAAAGTATCCACCTGATCTACAAATCCTCATCATTATCATCTCAAAATCATATGGGTTATGTGTCTTGATGATTTTAGCATTAAACTTATGGTGAACTAATGATAACCAACATTAGGAGATTGATTGATAGATTTTCATATTCAAACTTGTATACAAATATTTAAGCAGGAAATTGTATTTTTACAAATCTCAACTACTGAAATTAAGTAGACTGAAACTTTTTACTGAACAGTCTAGTTCCAGCTACTTTAAGTAACAAAAATTATCTTAATACAGAAATTCACTGTTTGTACCAGACAAATCATTCAATTACCTTGTTAATAATCTAACTACAAATTTCACATCAAAAGAATTACATCCATACTATCGATAAACTTCATATTCAACATTATCAACATAACTGGATGATTTATGTATATTAAATGAAAGGTGAGACTACAATCTATGGACGACTTTTAAGCGAAGCTACGGCGACCTTGAGAATGTCCACATACTAAGATTGAATGTCGGTTGTAAACCATTACGAGGAATTAGAATTATGATTTACAGTTGATGGTTAAGGTTAGGAACTAGATTTAGGGTTTTCATCACGAACTGATATAAACTAAAATACCAAACGCTATTGAGCCAAATAAATGGACTTCGCTCCCAAACCCAAGACGTATTATATCTGATTGGTTCGTTCATACATTATGGTCTCTCCCACTGAATTTATGAATCAAGCGTTTATATTCGCTAATTTAATATTTAATTCTTTCTCCTAAAGAAGTGCTGACCAAACTGCCTAGAGAAATGTTGGAGTTACTTTATTTTTAATGGCTGATATTCTTACCAATATGACACAAACATCATACCCGTCGCACAACTGAGTGGCCATATAGATTTGGTAGCTCAGTGGATGACACACCAACACGTGTTCTGTTTCATCAATCTGAAGAGACCTTAAAGGGACGAAACGGGTATTCTGGTTTGTGCTGTTGGCCACAATCTATCTCTTTCATAAAACTAATGATAAAATAACTACCGAGACAATCCGAACACGATTCACATTTACCAGTTAAGACTGATCATAAATTAATTCAAACGCTTACTGATCAAATTAACATTACGTCAAGGTTCATGTTAAACTGACTGTACATAGTTTCATGAAATAGTTTCTCTTACAATTAATCCATTCAGAAAATGAAGTTTTAATAAACTATCGAAGAATTTGGGTAATCAATATGGGGTTGTGGAGATTCTTAAATTTTTGATTCATATCATGAATCGATCAATGTTAGATCACCATTAAAAATCTGGAAACACTGGATGATCGTTTCATCCTAGTATGGAACTTCTCGGTAGTGCAGGTACACGATCTTGCGCATAGCAGTGGAATCCAGTACACGCGTCTCGTCCTATTTGGGACTCGTCAGCTGGATGTATCTGCATCTCCGAGTTGATGTTCACTCTGGGACTTGAACCCAGTACTACTCGGTCCGAACACCATCACGTTATCCACTTAGCCACTGAGTCCTAATATCGAAAAAGCGTCCCGGATTCCACTGCTAGCTACCACCCATCTTTGCTTTTGATGCTTGTGAATTAAGGCAATATCGAGACAATACGCACAGTATGCACATATGCTAATAAGAAACTGATAAATTGCAGTTTTAAACATCAATAGGAAGATTCAAGTGAACAATACTAAGTGAATTTATTCGAAATATATTTTCCATTAAAATAAATCCATGAATAAGTTTTCAGTTTTGTTTACCGCCTGAAGAAGTAAATGTCAGAAATTCAATTTCTACTCATTGAGATTTTTCAAATGAAAAGAGGAGGAAACTGAAAGTAATCAAGATAATGACAAGAATGAAAGAACCATGAAATTTGTAAGAGACAATTCAAAGATGTGCAACTGATGTATTTGTGATATGATGGAAAGAAAAGTCCATTTTCGATTGATTTACTCATTATGAGTTTTGTTCAATTGTACTTCCGTGTTGATTCAATGTAATGGTTACACAATGTAGTATTTGTTTTGTTTTCACGTATGATATTTTATTCTGTATAATATGCGATATTCTTGTATTCCATTGAAATGAACTATGCTCAGTATGTGATTTCTTATAAATCTAAGTATTTTTCATATATGTGATTTCATCCTAATTATTAATCAAAATGAATGTACAATCAATATATAAACGAGTGTATTTTCTACTAGAGGTGCCGTCGTCGTCGTGTTTTGGGGTTAATAAGTCACCACTTATACCAATCTTTGTGTTCTTACTTTCGCATCGTGGGAATCGCAGAGGTTCCTTGTTCCGAGTATAAATGATAAACGATTCCGATATAACAATCAGCGACGACCAGATATAAAAAGTAGCATTAGAAGAGCCAAAACAAGAAGTATTCAAACGATAAGTTATAACAATTTGATGTGTGATTTTTACATTATACTAAACCACTGTATGATTGTCCGTTTAATAATAAATTGATCTTCCTACCCAAGTGTTCCTTCACTACAATACTAACTTTTTAATGTATCAAATTCTCTATATATGGAACAGTATTATTTATCTGCTTAAACATGTATGTATTGATATAATGGAATACAACACAATAAAAATGAGATTATGATGAGATAGGGAAAGGGAAGTGAGTATAATTTACTAAATGAACAAAAATGAGTAGAAATGAGTGTGTGAAAGCACTATATCTGGGACTTAAACGAAGTAGTCATGAAGGGTCAGTGGATGGCAGTCCTGTACAGCTTCTTTTATACCATGACACCATGTTATACACTGGTCACCTATCAGTTCTTTTCCAATCAGTCCCAGCGTCATCAAATAGTGGAATTCAGTGGGACGACATTCATAGTAAATGTTCAAGCCACTGAAGTCGTTTTTTCAACATAGAAGCGCAAAGTGAACAATCGTCACTTTGTTTGAACACGCTTTGTTGAACTTTCACATAACTAACGTGTTGTTGCCATTAAATATCGGCAACCCTTCGTAGATAAAGATAATCAAACACATGCAGTCTCTTAACATCTTCAACTCGGAGAGGCCAAGTTTCACAAGCGTGGGGCAAATCTACTACCATCGACGCGTTGTACATCTAACCTTCTACAGCCAGACTAACATCATGAAGGCGCAAAAAATGACCCTAATTAGCATAAGCACCATATTTTTCACTATATTTGAATTGATCTCATCACTTACACCACCATCAGCATTCACAGTGCAGGTCCTCACTTTGATAACCTTGATCTGATTTTCTATTATGATAAGACTATCCACCAAGTGATAGGATTTCTGAAACGATTGAAATGGCCGAGGTCTTATATTGTTGAAATCACTAATATTCAAATCTTAATCAAACGGACTTAAGAGTATAAAACGATTAAGCTATTACAAGGGTATATTAATCAGTA